AAGGAAAAATGAAATGGAGCCCCTAGCTCCAGAGGAATAGATATTATGAGTTCAGAACTTTTGGTATTTCAATATGGATATCAAGAGTGCGTGTATTAAGTTTGGTCAAGATTCATCTATTCATGCAGGAGAATTTTTTTGTTATTTTTATTTATATAGCTCATGTAAGAAAAAAAAATAAATTCGGGTCTCCCGGCCCAAAACGAAATGTCATTAAAAGTCCATGCCCCTCCCCCCCCTCCCCCCAGTATTTGATTCTGGATAATGATGGATATATGTGCCAAGTTTGGTCAAGATCCATCAATCCAAATAAAAGCCTTTGTGGAACAAACCCACAAACCCATAACTTTTCATTACATATATTATCAATCCAAATAAAAGACTTTGTGGAACAAACACACAAACCCATAACTTTTCATTACATATATATATATATATATATATATATATATATATATGATGTTCTTTCACAATTTAAAAAAAGAAATTGTTGCCTCTTCGCAGAGTTTATTTTGTATATTTCACCATCTTTGGTTTCTGTTTACTGTTCAATGTTTCCAATAATAGATATTGATTATATCGATTTATGTCAGAGTTCCTAAAACCTATTAGTCACGGCACCCTAGCCACACGCCAATTTCCACGTTCATCATATTCGTAAAAACTTTCTTTCTGCTCACAAATCAGCCAGGTTTGTTTGTAGCATATATTTTTGTTGTCCACATGTGACTCCTTTGCTACGGTTGGTCGCACGGGGCTTACACTTCTGATTAGCTGACACAAGGTTCAGAGCTCCGGTTGGGTGGTCGAGGGCCGCTCAACAACACGAGATCCTTGCCTTTAAGGGCTGATGGCGGAGTTGTATCTCGGCGCAATTGTGCCCCAGGTGAAGATAACAGGATCTCATCCAATACATCTAACTTCCACCATGACGTTGAGAGCTGCTTCGGCATCTCATTCCGGGAGTGGGTAAAGTGAAAATGATGTAGTTATAATTATTAATGTGGCTAGTACAAAAAAAAAATCTCTTTCGAACCCTTTCCTTCCTTGCATATCGGTGACCGCCAACAGGCACTGGTACTGTTAGGAGCACTAGGCAATGTACCGTGATTCACCACCTAATAAACCTTATAATAGTTCAGGGTTACCGTTGTGGTTTCAGAACGAAGGTTACAGAACTTCTTCTTCTATATCTTAAGGGCCCACGATCAATTTATTGATCATTTTGGCACCAAGTTGCTCCACGACGTTGCACCATTGCAAGAGACCTTACTGAAAAAGCAACAATTGCACATCTCTGGCTCTTCAGTCTACCGCTGCTAAAATTGCCGAGGGCTTGCACCTCTTCTGAAACAAGTCCTCAGAGCAAAACTTTTATAGTTCAAAAGCATTGGTTGAACACATACTATGACCCTTAGAGTAGCTACACTATGACCCTTAGAGTAGCTACGACTGGCAATTTTTAAAAAAATTATAACTAATTTCTATAGCACACCCCAAAATACATATTGACAACCAGGTGTAACAGCTTAATTCTTTCCAAACATGTCTTCATTGGAATAGTTGGTGCGTATACAGAATCAGGCTCTGAGATTAATCTGTGGTGCATCCAAAACTACACCCACAGCTTCTGTGGCAATCTTGGCCAACGTATAACAGCAAGACATCAGAATGGACAAGGTGGTTGTAGGTGGTTGTAGGTGGTTGTAGGTGGTTTTAGGTGGTTGTAGGTGGTTTTTGCTACCCGGAACGGTACTGAAGACAAAATGGAAATGAAACCTGCTGTCAAACGCAGAATAACTGAGTGGCGGGTAGTAAACGTATAAGATCCTCTTTTAGGCACAGAGTGGCAGAGCTTGAAAAGACCGTTCAACTCCCCAAGGATAGAGACAGATTGACCCCTACCCCTGTCATTCTGACAGATTGACCCCTACCCCTGTCATTCTGACAGATTGACCCCTACCCCTGTCATTCTGACAGATTGACCCCTACCCCTGTCATTCTGACAGATTGACCCCTACCCCTGTCATTCTGACATTTGTGGAACCTTCCCGTCCCAGTAAACGTTTAACTTTTTATGACACAGCAGTGACCAAACGCAGACCTGCACATGTCCAGAAAGCGGCTTCCCTTGAGACAACTGAAGGCTTTTCGGAAACCAGAGTGAACTTTTTGACGGACGCTTCGGCATACCTGGATAAAGAAATGTGTGGTAATATGTGCTCATCATGTGTGTTGATGTGCGCTCATCCCGTGTGGTAAGATGCGCTCATCCTATGCCCAATCGGAGGGCTTATCATGTGTGTTGATGTGCGCTCATCCTGTGTGGTAAGATGCGTTCATCCTATGGCCAATCGGAGGGCAACCTGGGAGAAACTTCAACGACCCGGTGGGACTGCAGCATTGAATTTTGAAGCGGAGTTGAAGGCTGTTCACGGGGCCCTCGAAAGTGTGCACATTACGTTGCAGGGGTGGGAACTGTTTGGAACCAGGAAGTGCGTCACACCCACTTGGTTGGTGCCATCGTGGATGACGTGGTTGAGATCGAGAACAATGGAGGCAAGATAATGGTGCAATGGGTTCCAAGCCTCGTGACGTAAATGACAATGAAGAAGACGCACTGGGAAGAAAGGGGAAACTGATGGTGAACTCATATATGGCCATTACAAAAATAAAACATGAAAACCCCCATTCTTTAGGCCTTTATTAGCCAGACGCTCCTAACTGGAGGAGTGTCTGGAGGAGTAAGGGTAGAGTCAGGACATTACGACACACAGACTCGGATCAACGGGCTCGTTCATGCCTAGGTCGAGTGTTGGGTCACTTCAAAGTATAAAAAAAAATCATTAAAAAAATTTAAATAACTTTTTTGTCAAGACGAGTTCAGTCGCATTAGGAAGTGGAACATAAATATTCCTAATTTATAACATTATAATATTTCCTAATTCTTATTCTGTGACTTCATATAGGGCATTACTTTGGCTCCATAAAGAGCCTCACTATGGCTTCATAGAGTGCCTTACTTTGGCTTTATAGAATGCCTTAAAAAGACCTCATAAAGTACGTTACGATAGCTTTATTGAGTGTAACACTGTGACTTTCACGAGTGCCTTAATATGGCTTCATCGAGTGCCTTACTTTGGCTTCATCGAGTGCATTACTATGGCTTCATCGAGTGCCTTACTATGGCTTTATCGAGTGCCTTACTATGGCTTCATCGAGTGCCTTACTATGGCTTCATCGAGTGCCTTACTATGGCTTTATCGAGGGCATTACTATGGCTTCATCAAGTGCATTACTATGGCTTCATCGAGTGCATTACTATGGCTTTATCGAGTGCCTTACTATGGCTTCATCGAGTGCATTACTATGGCCTCATCGAGTGCCTTACTATGGCTTTATCGAGTGCCTTACTATGGCTTCATCGAGTGCATTACTATGGCTTCATCGAGTGCATTACTATGGCTTCATCGAGTGCATTACTATGGCTTCATCGAGTGCATTACTATGGCTTCATCGAGTGCCTTACATTTGTTGCGTTTTAACTCGTCTTTTAAAGAAAGATTTTTTTTTCAAATAATTTTAATTATATAATATATATATAACAAATAACGAGAAAAAGAACTGTGAAGGGCTTAATGTTAAATGTACTTAGGTGCATTTTTCCAGTTTGAAAAGTTTTTTGTTTTTTTAAACGTCTAATACAAGCTGCTCGAGGTATTTCTCAATCATACACTCCCGTACATTTGTTATGATTGATATTTTCAGGAATGATGCAGGGGAAGTAATCAAGTATAATGCCTGCCTTTGTTCAATTTTGAAAAAAATATACCTTAGTTCCATATCTCTACACGGGCCTTCACTTCCTGGATCTGTACGTACAGTTTTAAAATTTTCTGTATTGCATTGAACACACTTCTTGTTTTCTATATATAAATCCTGAATTGTAATACCCGGACACTGACTGGGACCCGACGAGTTTATGTCCAATAACCACTACCGGGTACCAGGGCGAAAACAGGCAATTGTTTAACACGGTGCGGCGTCCCTAGAAAGTCGGGGCTAGGCTATATTTAATAACCTAAACCAGTGGTTCTCAACCTTCTTAATGATGCGAGCCTTAAATACAGTTCCTCGTGTTGTGGCGACCCCAACCTTAAACGTATTTTCATTGCTACATCATAAATATGTCTTATGCGACCCCTGTATAAGGGTCTTTAAACCCCTAAAGAGTCGCGACCCACAGGTTGAGAGCCGGTGATTATAAACTCAAATAACGAGAGAGCTTTCGTGTAGCAGTGATTCTCAACCATTAAGCTTGGGTTAACTTTTAGTGGATGCCACCGTTGAAAATCCTGGAGTTTTAACCTCATTTATTGTGACAAGTTTGCTGGTTCTTGTTTCATTTTAAGGACAATCTACTTGGCTCAGGAAAACCACCAAACAATGGGCCAGGAGTTACATGGCAAATTATCATTTTAAAATATTTGTGCCGGACTGGCGGAAACAGAAGTTATGGTGGCATTTAAGCTCCCACCTTCTCCCCACCCTCCCACCCGATTAGGGCAGGGTAAAATGTTCAATTAAAAGTTCACATGCTTGTCCCTTAAAGGCGCACTGCATAATCGTAACAGATCCTAGTCCCGTTAACTCGTACTGCATAACTTATATAAATGTGCACGGGTTTAATCAGGCACAGCCGCGTAATGTACATTTTAGAATATGCCCACCTATATAGATATATACATGTGTGGGCGTGTGTACGTATAGGCGTCTCCCCGACAGTATCCAGTGTTGATCATTCCATAACAAGAAAATCCATTATCTCTGACGACGTGGTAATTTCAAGTGTGTGTTTTGTCTACCCCATATCAATGGCAAACCTGCTTTAAGAAACGCTCTCCTTAGTTGACATGATAGAAATGTTTCATTTGGTGACGCGGTGGTGGTGCCACTATTTTGTTTATATGACACAGCTTACCAGGATCTGACTCTTGAACGAACATTGTCCTAGAATTGTTTGACGGAGAACTCGTACATAATTTTTTTTTCTAAGATTAGGTAAGAAAGTTTAATTAAGTGGACTTTTTTTTCTGAAATGTATTATTGATTATTGATTTATGTTAATCACTAGTTTAGACAAGAAGAAATCTGTGGTTTTTAATACTACTTACTTGATTACTATTTATTAAGAATATAATAACTTTATTTCAGTATGTGTGATGTTTCAGCATGTAATGTGGGGGCTGACACAAGTAACTATACATTACAAAGTTGACTTTCTTTATACTTGAGTTATGCGAAATTTCAAACAGTCACATTTCCTAAAGGTGTGACATTTCACTGGACTGTTGTGTGGAGAGAATGTATCAGGCTAAAATATACGATAGAAGAAATGGATCTTTTGGTAATTGACAGAAGCAAAATCACCCCTATGGAAATACAAGAACCTTTTTACGTGGTTAGCGATGGCGAGATGTTTCATTGTAAGCTGAGCCTGTTTATGCTACGTCTGCTGGACGACAAAGCAGAAGATGCCAAGAAACTTGTGGAGCAGATGTTTCTTACGAAAGATGACCTCACCGTGTTGAGAGGGGGTCAGTCGCTTGTAACACGGAGACTCACTGTCGGAGACCGCGGACGATCTTTGAGATATTTGAACGACGTGCGTCTAGCTGGTCCACTGCGTCTGTTGGTGCTCAGCTTCGTCGAGGTGTCCACTATGATCGGGGTCAACCCGGGCAGAGAAAGTAGAATTCCCGAAGACGTTCCTGGAATATTGCGGAAGAGACTTCTGTTCGTTGACTTTTGCCTTGACACCAAAGTATAAACTGGTCGACGTGACTCTTATATAAATAAATAGTTGAATACATATTTCTCAATTGAATCTGTTGGCACACAAGGAACATTAACTCAACCAATTTCTTGAAGTTTTAAATTAATTTCCTGTGAATTTGTATGAAACTATTTTTAAATAACTGTTTGGAAGTAAGAAAACTAGATTTAATCTAACATGAAACTAAATGGATGAATACTTGATGAACGTATTTTGAAGTTATTTATACATTTATTTTGTGAATAAATCTGAAAGATGTTTCTTAATACAGCCTAGGCTTGATGTATTTTGAAAGTACTTATACATTTGAAGTCATTGCGTTTGTAAGCACATTTAAGCATATCACAGCTAGATAGAACTAATAAATTTACTGTGGATTTAACGTTGACGTGTTTATTACGTCATATGCAGATAATGCAGTTTGAGCGCAGTATTTACACATGCATCACAAACAGACACACATATATATATCAAAGTAAAAAATTGTGTGTGTGTTTGTTCCGTACGTTACTATATGTATTTATGGATCTTGACGCAACATTTTACATCATTATCTAGAATCAAATAGGGTGCGGGGGGGGGGGTAGAACTTTTTATAACATTCCGTTTTGGGCCGGGGCCCTCAATTCTTATTTTTGCTAATTTCAGCTTTATAAATTAAATTAAAAACAAATACTCCTACATGAATAGTTGGATCTTGACCAAACTTAGTACATATGGACTTGATATTCACCATATTCAAATACCAAATGTTACTGGTTCATAATATGCACTCCTTTGGGGCCAGGTTTTTGGTATATAAGCATTATATATACCAATAGGTTTAGAGAATACTATAGGTTCATTGGGAATTAACAAGTGTAAGCGTATGGCATTCTTAAACCGATTTGAATGAAATGTAGACGTATGGCATTGTTAAACCGATTTGAATGCGACACATTGTAAATGTTAACCCCATTATATATAACTTAGTGATTTTTAAAGGGGTTATCTCAAATGGCGGTGCTAGGAGGTACGGCGGTGCGGACCGCACCATGTGGCACCATTCCAGGGGTGGCACCAAATTTAAAATAGCATATTTACACAGCACACACTGCGTGGTCCAACCAAATTTCATAAAAGGATAATCGATTACACGTCAATTTTCCTCATATGTAACCAATCCAAGTGTATGCTTTATTAAACTTTCAATTGACCCTATAATTAGGTCAGAAAAAAACAGCGTTTTGATCATGATTCAACGCCGATAGAAGTGTTCGGTAACTTTAGTAAGGGACAGGAAGCTATATTTATCTAAATTCTGAGAAATAAAGCTTTCAATTGATACCAAATACGTTGTGGTCGAGCGATTCTAAGTACACGAATCGAATTGGTAATATTAAAAATATTTTAAAATGATGTTTTACCCATTTATAGGTTTAACAAATAATAATTTATAAATTGTCTAATATCTTTAATAATTAATTTAAATTTATTTATTACTAAATATATCCAAACCAAGAAATACTTAAGTTTATAAATATTTCGCCGATTCGTCCCTAATACCGCCCCTTAAAATTTGAGCACGATTGTCATATAGCACAAAGTCTTTTCAAGCTGTCTGTGATTTCACGTTTATCTTCTACCTTTACATTTGGGCTGATCTACTTGAGGAAGTTATTCCTACACAGCAGTATCTTCAGACTAAAGGCTTTACTCTTGACAAAGTGGTGACCAACCTAGAGGCCATTATTATACTGTTTCCGCATGAGACGCGCTGTCAGTTGGGGAATAATGTTATTGAAAAGACACTTTAAAATTAGACCATATGGAATTTTGGTAGATAGAAGATTATGGTTTAAGAAGAGAATGGCAGGAGAAAAAATTAATAGATGCTGGACTCTCTCTGCGAGAATAAAACAGTAGGGAGATGCTGAAGTGTATTGATCGCTTTCATTCTGAACTCAAGACCAGATCGTCTACGATCAAGGAAGTAGCAGATATGTTTGGGGCTGTTCAACCCAAAAGTCTACTATCAGCAAGTGAAGAAGAGTTATTGGTGTTCGTTCCGAAATGTACCTCTTTCCGAAGATGAACTTTTAAAATAAATCACAAGGCTTAGAATACAGCTGATATTGAATTTCATAAAGTCATGTCTGGTCAGTTGTTGATGTTTTGAAATTCATGGCTGAATGCCTAGAAACTCTTCCGATACTCTCGCTAAGCCTTCAATTGTCTTACAATCAGTGTGTCTGTGGCTTCATGAGTGCGGAGCTTTACAAAACTAAGGCTTATCAAGAACTATTTACGATCCACCATGGGCCAGTCCAGGCTTTCTGATCTGGCTCTACTATCAATTGAACGTGAGACAGTGAAGGATATTGATTTTGATCAAGTGATTGACAGGTTTCCAGCTCTGAAGACAAGGAAAGAAAATGTTAATTAAAGTAAAATTTTGTGTAAAAATTACTATAACTTAACTTTGTTAATTTTTTTAAATATTTGCCTCCTGTTATACTGTTAACTTATTTTAACAGGTGGGGGTGGGGGACACCATGACCTTACCGCACCGTGCGACACCAACACTAAATAGCACTGAATCAACTCTAGTCCCTTTTCATAATAAATGCCACTTCAATATCTAATTACATTCACAGACTGTTAATTCCATACACATGTATAGCGACGCTCGCTATCAGGAAGAAATAAAACACAACCTCTTTTCACAAAGTTCCTTTCACGACTGCCGCACGACAAAAACGAACGCTACATAACAGACTAGACAATACGTCCTAATAGGCATAACAAATACGTCACCGAATAAGCGCGGGAAGAGAGTTCACTAACTAATCAATCTCTCGAACACACCGCGCTTAATCAAATATAATATACAGTCGCCACAAATATTAATGAACTCCCATGCTCGAAAGGTGACACCATGAGTTTACCGGACCGGGTGACACATACCCTAGCTACGTCATTGGCTACCTCAGACATAACTAAAAGGGTACTCAGGGAAATGTTCATTTAGACTTTGTCTTGTACGAAAAATAATTACGTAAGAAAGTCATTTTTAACACGGTGATGTATAGGGTTATCTAAAAAGCTTTAAGTGTTAGTTTAGTTCTGTACATGTGCATGGCAGAAACACTGACACATCTGTGTTGAAAATGTGTCATGTGTGTCATGTGTGTAAGTTGTGTCACGTGTGTCATGTGTGTCACGTGTGTCATGTGTGTCATGTGTGTCAAGAGAGACCGCCAATACAAACGTATGAAAAAAAATGGCTCGATTGAACTGAGAGAGGAGGTACTGAGACTCCGCCGAACCATTCAACGCTTATTGCGTAGATCGTATTGGAACTACATGAACAGCATCTTCTCAGAGGAAGACACCCCGACCAAAGATGTCAAGAACAAGCGCTTCTGGAGCTATGTGAAGCACCAAAAGTCCTCAAACGCTGGAGTTTCCCCCTAGTCGGTCTTTGGTGACGGTAGAGAGTACTCTGAGACTGAGTTCCTTCTGAAGACCAAAATGATGAACAGAGCCTACCCTGTCATGGGAGATATCCAGATATCAGAACAAGGTGTGTTTGCCCTCCTCAATACCATTAACCCTTACAAATCATGTGGTCCTGACAACATCAAACCACGAGTGCTCAAAGAATTAGCCAAAGAAATCGCTCCTGCACTGACAATCCTCCTCCAATCGTCACTATGCACAGGAAATGTTCCAGCTGACGGGAGAACAGCGCATGTCACTCCAATTTACAAGAAAGGGGAGCATTCCGACCCTACCAACTATCGTCCGATATCCCTCACCAGCGTGGTCTGCAAACTGTTGGAGCACATAATCGTAAGCACAGTCATGAAGCATCTTGAAAGCCAAAATATACTCAATGACTGTCAACATGGCTTCCGATTCAATAGATCATGTGAGACCCAGCTTCTCGAATTTGTAGAAGACCTGATGACCAATCTGGAGAACCACAAGCAGACTGACGTGCTAGTAATGGACTTCGCAAAAGCATTTGACCGTGTGAATCATAGTTTGCTTCTACACAAACTCCAGAGATATGGGATTCAAGGCACCACTAAAACATGGATCTCTAGCTTCCTCAGCCACCGACGCCAAGCAGTAGTGGTGGGCGGTACAAGCTCCTCCTTTGTCAATGTGAAGTCAGGGGTCCCCCAGGGATCAGTCCTGGGCCCCTGTTTGTTCCTAGAATACATTAATGACCTACCGGAGAAACTGACATCACATGCAAGACTGTTCGCAGATGACACAGCAGTGTATAGGACGATCGCCAACAGATCTGACCAGGACCAGCTACAACAGGATCTCAATCTGTTAGCTGAGTGGGAGATGAGCTGGGACATGGAATTTCACCCTGCCAAGTGCCAGACACTATCAGTCTCTAGAAGTTGTACTCCTCTACACTACCAATACGAACTGCACGGCCATATACTTGAGCAAGTTTCCTCCGTAAAGTACCTGGGTGTTACCATTCAAAGAGAGGTCCGCTGGGACGAGCATATTAACAATGTATGTAACCAAGCAAACAAGACCCTAGGGTTCTTAAGGCGAAATCTAAAGATTGGCAACTCCTGTGTGAAAGAAAGAGCATATAAAGCCTTTATCCGTCCGATTTTAGATTATGCATCTTCAGCCTGGGACCCATTTACCCAGAAGAGCATTGACAGGTTGGAGGCGGTCCAGCGACGAGCAGCACTATTTGTCCTAAACCGCTACAGGAATACCTCTAGTGTTGGCAACGTGCTAGAAACACTAGGCTGGTCACCATTGGAGAATCGACGACGACAATCCAGGCTCTCCATGTTGTACAAGATAATAATGGGCTGGTCCACTGTTCCGGTATTAAACATAAACTCGTCCCTCTCCCCGATAGACAGCGACGAGGCCATGACAGGCAATTCAGGCTCATACCAGCGAGAAGCCAGTATAGGAGCTGCTCATTCCTGCCCAAGACAATCAGGGACTGGAACAATCTTTCAAAAGGAACGGTTGAGGCGACAACCCCTAGTGCATAATTTCCTCATCAACACCAGTAACAGAAACATTGCAAATCCCATCTACATGCATAGGAGCCAAAATTATCAATAAATTGATCGTGGGCCCTTAAGATATAGAAGAAGATGTGCGGTTAAAAGTTACTCTGGTTGAAAAAAAATATCCACGAGATGTTGTCGATGTTATCTTCATTCAATGAATTAAAAAAAATTTTCAGAGAGGGTGAGTGAGTGTTTGGTTAAGGCAATCGCATGGCTTGTCTATGTTTGTCATATGTATGTTTCGATACAGCTATATCTCTATAATCCGATCGAAATGTTTCATCGGTCGTATACACCTGTCAAATGTGCCATGGGTCGTGTACACCTGTCAAATGTGCCATGGGTCATGTACACCTGTCAAATGTGCCATGGGTCGTGTACACCTGTCAAATGTGCCATGGGTCGAAAACACCTGTCACATGTGCCCTAGGTCGTGAACAACTGACAAATGTGCCCTGGGTCGTGTACACCTGTCAAATGTGCCATGGGTCATGTACACCTGTCAAATGTGCCATGGGTCGAAAACACCTGTCACATGTGCCCTAGGTCGTGAACAACTGTCAAATGTGCCCTGGGTAGTGTACACCTGTTAAATGTGCCATGGGTCGTGTACATCTGTCAGATATGCCATGGGTCGTGTACACCTGTCAAATGTACCCTGGGTCATGTACACCTGTCAAATGTGCCATGGGTCATGTACATCTGTCAGATATGCCATGGGTCGTGTACACCTGTCAAATGTGCTATGGGTCATGTACACCTGACAAATGTGCCCTTGGTCTTGAACACCTGACAAATGTGCCCTGGGTCGTGTACACCTGTCAAATGTGCAATGGGTCATGTACACCTGTCAAATGGCCATGGGTCGTGTACACCTGTCAGATATGCCATGGGTCGTGTACACCTGTCAAATGGCCATGGGTCGTGTACATGGATCAATATTTAACCTTAGGAGGCTTCAAGCTAAAACCAAGGTCAAACATAACACCATCAACGAGCTTCTGTTTGCAGACGATTGTTCCCTCAACGCTGCCTCAGAGACCGTCATGCAACACGGCGTTGATATCTTCTCAGAGGCCTGCAATAACTTTGGCCTCACAATAAACACAAAGAAGACGGAGGTGATGTATCAGCCAGCTCCCAGTAAGCCCTAAGTTGAACCCAACATCATCATCAGTGGTCAGCGTCTCAACCCGGTGGATAAATTTAAATACTTGGGCAGCATCCTCTCTAGATCTGTCGTCATGGATGATGAAATGAAAGGCAGACTCGCAAAAGCTAGTGCCATATTGGGCAGGCTCCGCAGCACTGTTTGGGACAGGAGAGGTACCAGACGAGAAACGAAGATCAAGGTCTATAGCGCAGGAATTCTCTCAAAATTGCTCTACGGATGTGAAACGTGGACAGTCTACCAGCATCACGCCAAGAAACTGAACCCTTTTCACACAATCTGCCTCAGGAAACTCCTCTGCATCATGTGGCAAAACAAAGTCCCGACACTGAGGTCCTCACTAGAGCGAGCCTACCTAGTATCTTCACCACGCAGGCTTACCCGAAAGAGCAACATTAGGTCACGGTCTGAAGCAACTATCCCATGCCCGCGGTGCCTGAGATTATTCCGAGCATGGATCCGTCTAGCAAGCCACCTACGAGCTCACGTAACCCAACCTCCCCCTAACCGGATGACTCGATAGTCCTAGTCATGTACACCTCAATCATAGTACACAATTTGTGTATCGCAATCTAATGGGAATTACGCCTCCCACCTCTATCAGAAGTACAATACCTCGATGTACGGTGTATGCTGACAATCAACTTATATCGTATTGCACTTATGACATAAAAATATTTTTATATACACTTATAACAATTTTTTTACTCCAAAAACATGTTCATATATATCTAAATATTTTTTAATACTAGAATAAATGACCCGATGTTATTGGAATAAATATGGTAGGTACTTTGCGATAATTTCTAACATCTATTGCAAAAACTCATCCCAATTCATAACTTTTTAAAATGTAATGATATTTACGTTTCTAAAATCGTTAATTTTTTAGAAGAGTTTATCTGCTATATAGGATACGCGTACCCTAATCCCTTTCACTCTCCTAAACTACTTTTCCCCCTCAAAACATGACCTTAAATTACCCAGTCTAAATTATCACTAATTATATCACATTTGACACTAAAGAAGTAATTTGAGGTACAATTACGACGCTAGAGAAATACTTTAGATTTACCCCTTTTCGTGCCCTTGAATTACAACATTTTGCTCTCAAAATTTAAAAAAAAAACATTTTTAAATATACAACAAAAAATCTATACATGATATAAATATATTTTGTTTTACAGGAATTCAAAATATATTGATATCTTCATCAAAAATTTAAACACATTTGTGCCTTTTTAAAAAATTATTCACTATCGGAAAATCGTAAAACAAAGAGTTATTTTATCTAAGAAGATTCTGGCAATTGATTTTCACACCTACATCAGATTTGACTGTCTTTAAAAAAAATAAAATGTTAATCTCATAAAAATACTTGCCTCTTTACTTTTTGCAAGGTAACAGCAAAAATATATTTTCATTTTATTAAAAAGAAAATATTAACCCATCTTCATTTGTCAAAATTTAATTTTCAAGTGTGTAAAATGATTGGGTTTTGATTTTCATGGATATACTTATACAGATAAATGTATCCAAGATTTGTTAACGAAATTGATTTTCTTAGTTAATAAACATATATTTATTTGTAAAAAGAGAATTTAACATCTCTTTTACACAAATGTAATACCATAGGATTTAAAGAGATTGTCATCCACGTAAAAATGTGCACATCCTTTTTCCTATCTCCGATATGTCATTTTTTGTATGTACACAAGAAGGTTAATTATTAATCAAATTAATTCCTTTATTTTGAGACTTTTCGTGTGCTGCCTTGAAAAAAATGAACATACACATATTTGTAAAAAGAGGATGTAGCATCTCTTTTTTCTCTAATGTAATACCATAGGATTTAAATATACTGTCATCCACGTAAAAATGTACACATCCTATTTCCGATCGCCGATATGTATTTAACCAAGAAGGTTAATTATTTATCAAATTCATTTCTTTATTTTGAGACGTATCTTGTGCTGCCTGGGGCAAAGTGACGAACCCCTGCCCAACCCAGATTAAAATAAATTTAGAAAATCTTCAACCGGATTGTAGTCCCTTCCATACCTAAACTAACATATTTGGCACTTCAAATGGTTCGTTCTTATTTGTATGAGATGTAAGTGGATTAGTGAATGCTATTTAGCTATGGAGTTACGCTGCACTGATTGACTTAACCCGCATTTTCTTATTAGAACTATATTTAAAGGTTAGTTTTTATTACCTTAAAAATTTAATAAAAGTATATTTTTGTAATAAAAAAAGGCAAAACTTTTTAAATGTAAAAATATACAAAGCAAAAATGTGTGTGTGCTTTATTTACAATTTAAAAAAAGCAATCAATTGTAATTATTAGACTCTAGTTTTACTTTTAAGAAGGGAAAATATATTATCAGTTTTTTTCACGCGCGTTTAATAAATTTCAAGAAACCTAAAAGTTTTGGCAAAATCGGCTATTCGCGCTATGACGTCATTTTTGTAATTATTTAGAACAAATTAATTTTATTTTAATTTCGCAATATTAAAAACCCACCAAAAGACGCACTTAGTTGATAATTTAAATGTATTTGTAATTTACAATAAGATAACTTTAACTTTTAATAAAATAAAATCTGATTTAAAAATTTTTTTGCCCATTTAAATTTATCCGATTTCCGTAAAATAATAGAAAATAACTATGATTGTTTTAAGGAATCCGAACGTACTTAAATCTTTTCTGCTCTTTGGAGTTATGTCAGTATAGCTCATTCTTACATATATTGTTTTATTTCTTCTTTCTCTATATCATCTTTGATAAAAATCAGTAGCTATATAGTGAAAAATAACAAGAAGTTTTTTCTTAGTTTAACTGCCATCTATAAGATTTTTATATTTAAATAGAAAAGGTATTACCCAAAGTTCGTGGCTATACTCTCTGTAGTCTGAGATAAGAAAAATAATGACGTCTTGAACATCTGCTTCTGGCTTCAGCGAATAACTTTTTTTTTTTTTTTTTTTTTTTTTTTTTTTTTTTTTTATTTATTTTTTTTTTTTTTTTTTTTTTTTTTTTTTGTCTGTTAAACTTTGGGATTAATTTTGATCAAATAAATTACGTAATAAATATTTAATCGTTTAATCAACGCAGCAACTTTAGCGATTTAAAATGTCCATTTAAAAAAACGTTACGTCATAATTGATTTCAACATGGACAACTGGAAAAAAAATCTAAAATAAAATTTAAGTGACCAACGAAAATACATTTCAATAATTCTTTTGTAAGTTGGTCTGGAAGGTAAAAAACTATATTGGTGTTCGTGAAGAACAGAACAGTGATCGTTGATCTTCTATCACATTGTTGATGTTCTTTGACAGACAAACATAATTACTGACTAAGTATATAATAATCGCTGCAAACTTACAATTATAATACAAGAAATAAATTATTTTAAAAATGGGATCTTTCTATTTTGTTAAATATCCCCACTTTATTATTTCTAACAATACGAAGAGTTTGTATAATGGGACTAGAATAAGGCATGGTGTAACTACGCTGAGGCTAGAAAAAGTCTAAGTGTTTATTTGATGCGACTTTATAAAAAATGGTGACCTGCTTACTTAACACTCGATGCGCCACATTTACTCTTCCAAAGTCAAAGATTCCACCATCTTACACGTTTAGTAAACACCATCCCGTCCCTCTCTGCACCAAAAGAAAATTAATGTTTAAAAAATCCAGCATGATCCGGTCCGGAACAACAATCTTCTTCGATTGCAAAAAAACAACATATTCTATTTTTTTTAATGATTCTTTGACCAACATATTCATATCTCTGTGCAGGATTTTGACCTTCAGATAGGCAAAGAACGTAGCCAGGAGTAGCTTTAAATATAACGAAAACTTTAATCTGTTGTTTTTTTTTTTTTTTTTGTGGACGAGACAATTATTAAAAAAAAAAAAATAATTTTAATTTTTTTTTTAAATTTATTCTGTGCAGGATTTTGACCTTCAGATAGGCAAAGAACGTAGCCAGGAGTAGCTTTAAATATAACGAAAACTTTAATCTGTTGTTTTTATTTTTTTGTGTGGACGAGACAATTATTAAAACAAAAAAAATACATTGCATTTCTTTTTTAAATTTATAAATTATAGGCCATAATGAATATTGATGAATAGGGAGGAAATATAGCGGGGGTGTATTTTTAGGGTAAGATTCATAATAAAACCAATTTCTGAGATGAGTTTTTCGGTCTCAGCGACTTCAATTGCTAGTGATCATTTCTAACATTTTGGAAATCATGGCGGTGCTACGCTTGCTACATGATGTGGGAGACAAAGTATATTGTAATTATCGTAATGAAATGAGCTGACCAAAGTTTTTGTAGCATGTCCAGAGGTGTAGCATGGGGAGGTGTCATTATCAAAGTGTTTGTAGCATGTCCAGAGGTGTAGCATGGGGAGGTGTCATTATGAAAGTCAGCTAATGCGCTCTTCCTTGGAGGGTTGAAAAAAGGAAATGATCTGTAAACGAATAACAGAAGGTTCGCCATTGTAAAAAACTAAAGCGGGATTAATATGCATATATTTAACTTGGCTTAATTAAAATACAGTACAACTATATATATATATATATATATTTATATATACATGTAGTGTTGTTTAGTATTATATAATATAATATATTGTACATAAATATTGTACACACATATACTACGTAACTGTACTGGTGGTGGATGCAATACTCAAATCTAATGTACACTTATACACTACAGACACATACTGTACAAAACTCTAGTACACAGACACGGTACACAAATGTACAGCACACATATGCACTACAGAAATATACTGTTCAAAAATGCAACACGCATATACAGTAACCAAATCTAAAGTACACACATACACTAATGAATTATGGTGTACACAAATCTAGTACACAAGTCTAGTACATAATAACACTACAGAAATATGACTCACTCAAATCTATAACACATATTAAGTACACACATCTAGTACACATAAACAGTACACAAAAGCTATATTCAGCTGGTGCACTGATTAAAAAAAAAAAAAAAGAAATTGTATATACAACAAACTGAAATAAGTTTTGCTTTGTTTTAAAGCAGTCTTAGAGAGATAAGACCAATCAAATTTTAAAAAAATCGAATAAAGTAGAAAAAAGAATATTGGGCTCCATAACGGACTTATTACTTCCACGGTCATGAAAACAAAAAAAAATCCGTGTCCCACTTTTACAATCAGGGCGAACACAACATCTCTTTAAACCCTCTTAAAAAAAAAATAATTAATTATTCATCTGACCACAGTGAGTTTACCTGCACTCCCACGCTGTCCCACGCAGACGAACTTTGTCTTCCTTCAGTTCCACGCCCTTCCACTGCGCGGTGTTTCCCACCGCCACTTCCGATCACAAAGTCCAAGGCCTACTATAAATATGAGCGTGGTCACTACGAGATCAAGTCTCACATCCAGCTGAACCATGTATGTTGCATGTCTGCTCGCCCTACTGCCATGCCTGCTGGCGCCCGCTCAGGGCGCTAAGAATTACGGGTCTGCCTTACAAAAATCAATTCTCTTCTTCGACGCTCAAAGGTTAGTACAGTGCTGTAGTTCTATGGTACGGTAAGGGCACCTCATTAGTATAGTAATGTAGATCTAAGAAACGGTAATGGCACCCCATTAGTAGAGTACTTTAGATCTAAGAAACGGTAATGGCACTCCATTAGTAGAGTACTGTAGATCTAAGAAACGGTAATGGCACCCCATTAGTAGAGTACTGTAGATCTAAGAAACGGTAATGGCACCCCATTAGTAGAGTACTGTAGATCTAAGAAACGGTAATGGCACCCCATTAGTAGAGTACTGTAGATCTAAGAAACGGTAATGGCACCCCATTAGTAGAGTACTGTAGATCTAAGAAACGGTAATGGCACCCCATTATTAGAGTACCGTATATCCAATATCTAGTATTGTAGTTACATAGCACTTCATTCATTAAAAAATAAAGCGCAATTAACATTGGAGACTTAATTTTTATGAATGTACAACATAATAATGCATCCTCATAAATGGGACAACTTGTGGATCTTCAAAAATATTGTGAAGGTTTCATTGTCACTGATAGAAATATTCCACTTCATTTTATAGATGTTTCAAGCTTTTTGTTGCAACCGGTCACTTGGACCACTTCACCAACCCTTACCCAACCAACCCTTAGCCAACTAACCCTTAGCCAAAAAACCTTTAGCCACCAACCCTTAGCCAACCAACCCCTAGCCAAGCAACCCTTTGTCAACCAACCCTTAGCCAACCAACCCTTAGCCAAGAAACCCTTAGCCAACCAACCCTTAGCCAACCAACCCTATTCCAACCAACTCTTAGCCAACCAACCCTTAGCAAACCAACCCTTAGCCAACCAACCCTTATCCAATCAACTCTTAGCCAATCAACCCTTAGCCAACCAACCCTTAGCCAAGAAATTCTTAGCCAAGAAACCCTTAGCCAACCAACCCTTAGCCAAGAAACCCTTAGCCAAAAAATCCATAGCCAACCAACTCTTAGCCAAGAAACCCTTAGCCAACCAACCCTTAGACAAGAAACCCTTTGCCAAAAAATCCTTAGTCAAACAACTCTTAGCCAACCAACCCTTAGCCAACCAACCCTTAGCCAACCAACCCTTAGCCAACCAACCCTTAGCCAACCAACCATTAGCCAACCAACCTTAATCCAACCAACCCTTAGCCAAGCAAACCCTTGTCAACCAACCCTTAGCCAACCAACCCTTAGTCAAACAAACCTTAGCCAAACAACCGTTAGCCAAGAAACCCTTAGCAAACCAACCCTATTCCAACCAACTCTTAGCCAGCCAACCCTTAGCCGACCAACCCTTAGCCAACCAACCCTTAGGCAACCGACTCTTAGCCACCCAACCTTAGCCAACCAACACTTAGCCAACCAACTCTTAGCCAAGAAACCCTTAACCAATCAATCATCCACCTCCTCCCAACTTTACCATCCACAAAGTATAAACTGTTCACACCAAATCCTTACACCAGGCCTGCACAACTAAAAAAAAAATAGATTTTGGAAATGCTACGCGATATTTTGCAATTGTTCACGCGACATTTTGCAATTGTTCACGGGGCATTTTGCAATTGTTCACGGGGCATTTTGCATTTCTTCATGCGCCATGCCGATTGTTCAGTAGCTGGCTAGGTAATGCTCCACTATAGCCAATGGTGTCCTACATTTGTCTATCCATAAGGCATTGTCCACTGTAACATTCATTTTAAGCTGAACGTGTTTTCACTCCACCATGTTAATAATCACTAAAGTTATTATTCATTTAATAAAATGTTTTGGCATTCCAACAAAAGGGGTCCTTATCAACTCAGACAAAAAAAGTTCTTGCAGAGAATTTGATATTTTACGATCACTACTAGATCAAGAAAGTTACTTGCCAAAAATAGTGTTTGCCTGCTCCGATCACTTACAGATCAGGAAAACTACCTGCAAACAATCCAGTCCACTGGAGAGGAGACTCTGGCCTTCACGACTGTGTTGTTGGTGGCTGGTACGACGCTGGAGACCATGTCAAGTTCGGACTTCCAATGTCTTCCTCTACAACTCTGCTACTGTGGGGTATCAACAGGTAACTAATATTTTTTTTACCTCTATGCTAGACCCAGCATTTATTTACCTCTAAACCTTTGTTGAACAATGTAGAACGAGTTGTTTTTAAATACAACCTAAAATTTGTTAACAAAGGACTCTCTTTATGACGTCATTAGAGACGAAACCCTCTAAAACAAAATGCTGTAACGCAAGAGTCTTCCAATAAAGTTAAAATAAGGAGATCGGTGGGGGCCCGTTTTAAAATGTCTTGTTTCAATTATCACTTAAATAGGGACCCTACATAATTAATAAGATAAATAGCAAATCAAAAAAAAAACATGAAAATAGGTTGAAAATACAAGATGTAATGTGTATATATGGTAAATTAAGTAAGTATCACTGTCCCCGTTAGTTGTGAATATTTTTAGCTCAAAATCCTCCAGGTTTTCAGTATTACTTTTCAAGTGCATTTGTACGAGTTTGCGCCTAGATCTATCCATCAAGTGTAATTTTATTTATTCAACTTTTTGAAGACAAAAATAACTTAATCGTTCGTATTTTTAGTTTGTATAGCTTAGAGTTTAGCGATATTTTAAAACGGATAATGAAATATTGTATGACCAAGTTTTGTCTAGATTCAAGCAACTCTCACACAGCCGGATCTTTTCCCATTTTCCCACCATTGCTGACTTCAACACTTTTAGAGCCCATACTGTTGTCTTGGACTGTAGATTTTTAGAGCAACTACTGTTGTCATAGACTTTAGACTTTTAGACTGTAGACCATCACAAATAAAGTCATATTGGTCTTACAAGCGCTATTTTGAACCGTCCAACCTTTGACCCGCAGGTTCAAGGACGGCTATACCAGAGCCAACCAACTGAACCAGGCCTACGACTCCGTCAAATGGCCCTTGGATTACTTCCTACGCGCCTGGAACCCCAACACCCACACACTGACCGTGCAAGTTGGTGACGGTAATGCTGACCACGCTTGGTGGGGCCGTCCAGAAGACATGACCATGGCCAGGCCATGCCAGACAGTGACCACTGCTCACAAGGTAAGTAAGTTTTAGTAATTATCTTTAATTGATATCGATCTTTGAGCAATTTAATACGATACAGTACTAAATCCCGCGCTAGCTTCATGAAAAAATATATTTTCGCCAACTTAATTTTCAACATAAAACCATTCGAAAATTTCTTTTAAACCAAAAATTATATTTAAATTCATCATTAAAGGTTTCAAAAGTGACATAGCTTTTCAACTTACAAGGAGCTATACATTAGCTAGTACAGCCTCCCCCCTCATACACAGTAGCTAATACAGAGCCCCCCCTCATACATAGTAGCTAATACAGACCCCAACCTTACACGCTGTAACTAACCCCCTCGTACATAATAGCAAATAAAGCCTCCCCTCATACACTTTACCTGGCGCCCCCACCCCCTCACAATAAGCACATACTTTGATATCAACTTGTCCTGGCAGGGCAGTGACATCGCGGCCGGCACAGCTGCAGCTCTCGCAGCTGGTTCCATCGTTTTCAAGGACAAAGGGGATGCTGCCTACAGCAACCAGCTTCTTCACGCTGCTGAGACCCTGTACGCTTTCGCCAAGGCCAACAGGTGGGTCTCTCACATTGGTCAGTCAGATTAGTCAGTCGCATGGGTCAGTCACATGGGCCAGTCACATGGGTCAGTCACATTAGTCAGTCAGATTAGTCAGTCACATGGTTTAGTCACATGGGTCAGTCACATTGTTCAGTCAGATTGGTCAGCCACATGGGTCAGTCAAATGGGTCAGTCACATGGGTTAGTCACATTGGTCAGTCAGATTAGTCAGTCAGATTGGTCAGTCACATGGGCCTGTAACATGGGTCAGTCACATTGGTCAGTCAGATTAGTCAGTCACATGAGTCAGTCACATGGGCCAGTAACATGGGTCAGTCACATGGGCCTGTAACATGGGTCAGTCACATTGGTCAGTCACATTGGTCAGTCACATGGGTCAGTCACATGGGCCAGTCACATGGGCCAGTCATATGGGTCTGTAACATGGGTCAGTCACATGGGTCAGTCATATGGGTCAGTCACATTGGTCAGTCAGATGAGTCAGTCACATGGGTCAGTCACATGGGCCTGTAACATGGGTCAGTCACATTGGTCAGTCAGATTGGTCAGTCACATGGGTCAGTCACATGGGTCAGTCACATGGGCCAGTAACATGGGTCAGTCAAATGGGCCTGTAACATGGGTCAGTCACATTGGTCATACAGATCGGTCAGTCACATGGGTCAGTCACATGGGCCAGTAACATGGGTTGGTCACATGGGCCTGTAACATGGGTCAATAACATGGGTCAGGCACATGGGTCAGTCACGTGGGTCAGTTTCATTGGTCAGTCATATTGATCAGTCACATGGGTCTGTCACATTGGTCATTCACATTGGTCAGTCAGAGGGGTGACATACATAGGTCATTCATATAGGTCTGTCACATGGGTAAATCTCATTGGTCAGTCACGTGGGTCACTCGATTGGCTCAGTCACTGCAATGTTATTTTGATAGAGATTATGTTGGACTTGTAACATTGGTGTCCTTGTCAAGCATTTATACAAAGTGTTGTTTTTTTAAATTTGTTTCTTTTAGTAATTTTTTTTTCCTGGCATCCGTCCGTCACAAAGGTGACGACGGTGTAGACTTTGCAGGACGAAATCAGCGAAGAACTTTAAATAACCGTATGTGTTCCCAGGGGCGTGTTCACGGGGGCAGCAGCCTTCTACTCCTCGAGTGGTGACCGGGATGAGCTCTGTGAGGCGAGTATCTGGCTGTACAAGGCAACAAGGAACGCTGCTTTCTTGAACGACGCCAAGTCTTTCGCCGAGACGGCCACTGCCTGGGCTTTGGGCTGGGACGATAAGAAAGGTAAATTACAGGGGATAGTAGGGATAAAGTACAGAGGGGTATTTAGGATAAAGTACAGAAGGGTATTTAGGATAAAGTACAGAGGGGTATTTAGGATGAAGTACAGAGGGGTATTTAGGATAAAGTACAGAAGGGTATTTAGGATAAAGTACAGAGGGGTATTAAGGATAAAGTACAGAGGGGTATTTAGGATGAAGTACAGAGGGGTATTTATGATAAAGTACAGAGGGGTATTTAGGATGAAGTACAGAGGGGTATTTACGATAAAGTACAGAGGGGTATTTAGGATACAAAAAGTAGAAAAACAAGATATGAGGAAGCTTGAAATAGAAAGACAGGACAATAAAAGAAAAACGTTTCGGCTAAGTGCCTTCCTCGGCAACACACCTTTTTCTTCTATTTCCTTCACACAGCCTGAACGCTTTCCTTCATTTGATGTCCTTTGCTTAAGATAAGAAAGGTAAAATACAGGGGTATAAAGGATAAGAAAGGTAAAATACAGGGGTATAAAGGATAAGAAAAGTAACAAACAAGGGTTTAAAGGATAAGAAATGTAAAATACAAGGGTTTAAGGGATAAGAAAGTTAAAGTACAAGGGGTTTAGGATCTGGAAAGCAGTTCAATGGGGCATTTATGTTAGAAAAATGCGAAAGAATGCAGGATAATACAGGATAATTGCAAGGGTTCTAAGTTTGTGAAACTTTGAGTCCAACTGGGATTCGGACTGGGAGAGAAATCCTTCATATGCAACCATAATATCTTAAAAATATCATTATAATTTTATTGCTAAACCACATTGTTTCTTATATCCAATCAAAAATATATTTATTGCATATTAAAATAAATGTAAACTGCCTTTTTCCTAAAGTAGCGTTTTTACGGCCTTTGTCCTAAAGTAGTCTTCATTCTGCCTTGGTCCTATAGTAAGCTTTTCAACAAAAAAAATTAATGACCAGAAGAAAAACTTCAGTGGTTTCCCTTGCCTTGATCACCAGTCTATTTACTTGATCAATGGGACAGCTCGAAGCTGACAGCTGTTTATAGAACACAAAGTACTAAATACATCCGAGAAGCTAAACAATAGATCAACTGAGCAATTATATAGCAAGCTAAACAATAGATCAACTGAGCCATTATATAGCAAGCTAAACAATAGATCAACTGAGCCATTATATAGCAAGCTAAACAATAGATCAACTGAGCCATTATATAGCAAGCTAAACAATAGATCAACTGAACTCAATAACGTCATATATTAACCAGTTGTGTAGGCCTCTGCGAACAGTTTTGCCGAGTAAGTTACTGGATTGAATAGCTGGATTGGGGTACTGGATTTGAATTATTGGATTAAGTGACTTGACTGAATTACTGGATTGATTGACAAGATTACAATATTTCGTATAAAACTTGCACAAAATATGATCACTTTGTTCTTCTGCCTCAATCTTCAGTGGCGTGTCAACCCCTTTATTAAGATGATTAATGTGTTCTTCTGCCTCAATCTTCAGTGGCGTGTCAACCCTTTTATTAAGATGATTAATGTGTTCTTCTGCCTCAAGCTTCAGTGGCGTGTCAACCCTTTATTAAGTTGATTAATTTTGTCTTCTGCCTCAATCCTCAGTGGAGTGTCAACCCCTTTATTAAGATGATTAATGTGTTCTTCTGCCTCAATCTTCAGTGGCGTGTCAACCTCTTTATTAAGATGATTAATGTGTTCTTCTGCCACAATATTCAGTGGTGTGTCAACCTCTTTATTAAGATGATTAATGTGTTCTTCTGCCTCAATCTTCAGTGGCGTGTCAACCTCTTTATTAAGATGATTAATGTGTTCTTTTGCCTCAATCTTCAGTGGCGTGTCAACCCTTTTATTAAGATGATTAATGTGTTCTTCTGCCTCAAGCTTCAGTGGCGTGTCAACCCTTTATTAAGTTGATTAATTTTGTCTTCTGCCTCATTCTTCAGTGGCGTGTCAACCCCTTTATTAAGATTATTAATGTGTTCTTCTGCTTCAATCTTCAGTGGCGTTTCAACCCCTTTATTAAGAGTATTAATTTTTTCTTCTGCCTTAATCTACAGTGGCGTGTCAACAACTTCTATGGGAGGAAACGAAGGACGCACATTACAGAAATCTTGTTGCAGCTTTCCTCCAGAGTTGGCAGCCCGGGGGTGGTATAGCATACACCCCATGCGGCCTTGCCTGGAGAGACAAATGGGGGGCAAACAGGTACTGTCCACTATTAGCTTATATTTAATCGTATCTATAGAAGAAACAAATGGGAGCTTTGATATTTATAGGCACTCAGTAAAACTTTTCCACTCCAACCCGTTTTGTTTAATTACTAGCCTGCACAACTCAAAATCTAAGGCGGGCTGTAATACTTTATGAAAAGCTTGTGCTGGCCGAAGGATATTAAAGGACAAGGGAGAAAGCTATTAAGAAAATAAAAATAATAGAATATTTCGTTACGTCACCTGCCGCCAAAAGGGTGCTGGCGGGCCGGATGCGGGCCGTGGGCCGAATGATTTGTGGGCCTGTTTTATTACATTAAAATATAAATCATTCGCAAATTTGCTAACCCATTTTTCTTTAAGTTACCAAACACTTCATGAAGCCTCACCGAAATCCTTTATAAATTCAACTCGGAAACAATGATAAGTCATCAATTGACGAAACAATCTTCACAGAATAATGATTCTGTCGGCTGTCAGGTATACTGATTTATTCAAAGCACTCTTTTTGTCTGTTGTCAGATACGCTGGAAACTCCGCCTTCGTCGCTCTCGTCGCCGCTGAATCTGGTATCGATGCCGCCAAGTATCGCGCATGGGCCACAGAACAAATCAACTATCTTCTTGGAGACAACCACCACGCCGGCGGCTGCTTCAGCTTCGAGATCGGCTACGGCTCCAAGTACCCCACCCAGCCCCACCATAGGGGCGCGTCCTGCCCCAACAGACCGGCCGCGTGCAGCTGGGACCAGTACAACTCACACTCGGCCAACCCCCAGGTCTTACAGGGGGCCCTGGTCGGTGGCCCCGACCAAAACGACGCCTACACCGACCTGAGGTCAGACTACGTTCACAACGAGGTCACCACAGACTACAACGCTGGCTTCCAGAGCGCCCTGGCTGGCATCCTCCACCTCCAAGCTCACAACGCACTCCCGGCCACCCACAACAAGTGTCCGTGCAATCAATAAGTGGTTGGACAATACAGTAGTCTTCTTCTTCTTTCCTTCTTGGTTTTGTTCATATTTTTAAAAATATTAGAACTATATTTTTTGTAATGGTGTATACTGTAACGGTGTTCATTGAAATGGTGTCCACAAACGGTGTCCAATGTTACGGTGTCCATTAAAATTTTGTCAATAACTGGTGTCCGATGTAACGGTGTCCATTATAATTTTGTCAATAACTGGTGTCCGATGTAACGGTGTCCATTATAATTTTGTCAATAACTGGTGTCCGATGTAACGGTGTCCATTGTAATTTGATTTAAAAAAAAGGGTGTCCAATGTAAAGGTGTCCTCTTAAATATTACCTTTTGCTCCTTTATTCTTTAGTCTGTCTTTTCTCCTCTCTATCTCTCTCAACTCTCTCCCCCACCCGACCATCTTTTCAACTCTATCTTTCTCGCTCTTTCACCATTCCCACGCTTCTCTTTCCAATCATCCCCTCCTCTCCCTCTTTACAATCCCATGCGTCATTACTTCCCCTACTATCTAACATCGTTCCTTGATATTATCTTTTTGCATCCACTAAAAAAAAAAAAAAAGTTACTGGAAAACTTCATCGAAAATTCGAGTTTAACCATTAACACTTTTTAATTGCCAGCAATTAACATTTAAAACAATTCAAAACTCAACAATTGTAAAAGAGATGAGAATACCAAAGGACGGACTGCAGTCAAGCTAAAAGAGAGTTTCATTTTGTTGGGTTTTTTTAATTAAAAAAATGTAGCACTGTTGAACTTGGCTTGAACTTTGGTAGATAGTCTTTTTATTCTGGTCGTTTTGTGAAAGGAAATGTATTCAATACAAAGCGTGTGAAATTATGTTCAATAAATAAATGGTTAAATATATCTCAAATAAAAAAAAAACAGACTTGATGTGTAGGATGAGTCGTCTAAACTTCTTTCTTCTTCAATTAGGGGATCACCTAATTAATGTCCTTAAATGTGGATTTAATGTGGATTTAATAACAATGTGGATTTAATAACAATAAATATTTCTATATTCCATTAGTGAATGACACGATAGCGTGTTGATTCCGCAAATGTAAGACAACCCATGTGACGTATAAATTGAGCTTATATTTGAATGGTCTCCCCGAAAATGTTATTTTTATCAAAGTTTGTCAGCGCGACCTCCTTTTGTTGACAGATCAAAACGCGTAGAGAGAGACTAACTCTAGGCCTCAAAAAAAAAAATAAAAAAAAAAAATATATATATATATATATAAATTAAAAAAAAAAAAACATACATCTTTTCATATATGTCAGGTTTTCAAGTCTGACTATAAATAACTTAACTTTACTTTATTTTATAATTTATAATAACGTCCGACTAGCTACTTTTTAAACCAGTTAAGTCTTAAGACTAAACTAGTATATATTAAAGTCTTAATTCGCATAGGCCTCATTTATAAATTTCTTGATTATTTTATTATTTGTTTTATGTTGTGTATGAGTTTATTCTTTTTTAGGTTAACGAAATACTATGTTAACTTTTTTTTTTACACTGCTGAAAATGTACGTTGAACAACACTAGTAGAACCAGCACGTTAATCTCGTCGTACCACGAGACAAGCTTTGCTCAAACTTTTCAAAGCGTGTGGCCCCTGGCAACGGACCAGTCCATTGTGAAAGGTGATTAGAGGACTTGGTGGCTGTTCAAGAAATCCTTAAGACTGGATAAGATATAACAGTGATATGTGACTTTCTTGATTTCGGTTAAAATAGATTTGTTAGAGCAAAACTAGATTTGTGACAGAGGTTTGTTGACATTATTCATTGTTTGAAGAAGCCTCAGTGAGAAGACTAAAATTATGATTGTTCATAAGCCATAAGCCCAATGTGTGACGTCTTATGCTCATAAGTTTAACTTAACTTTATAGTTTAAGTTTGAAGTTTATGAAGGTTTGGGTTTCAACTTTTTGTAAGGATAATATTTATTTTCTTTGAGCGCTCTGATTGACTGCATGCACTCCTCTCACTTTAAACATATTTCTTGGGGGGGGGGGGGGGGCCTTGCTCTTTAGTTTTTGGAAGGAAGAAATTTTTTGAAAACCCTTAAAATGTTTTTTAAAACGCTTTTTTTTTTGGTTTAAACTTTGACCCCGTTTTAATTTTTGCCCCCAGTCCTTTCTCAAAATGGAAATGTGGGCCTAAAAAAAGGGGTTGGTCCCCCCCCCGGGTGTTAAGGAAAAAAGAAAGGTTTAAGGGTTTTTTTTTTTTTTTTTTTTTTTTTTTTTTCAAAGACATAAATTCACCATGAACTAGATATTAACTGATATCAGATTCGTGTTTAAGGGAAAAAGGGGGAGGGGGGGTGCCTTTTGGTCCTAATTATGATTGATGTTTATTCTTTTAAAAAATTTAGATAATTAAACTATGACGTTAAAATAAGTGAGTCCAAAATGGTTTGGGGTAGGGGGGGGGGGTCGTCCACAGCCACTCAGCCACGACAACAGAGCCTAACCAATTTCCCTGCCATAGGGGTACACATCACGACCATAGTGTGTATCGGTATGGTACACATTTTATTTACAAGTCACTGCAACAGTGTGTACACAGTTACACAGTCGCACAGTCACGATGTCAGACATCAGACAACAGACATCAGCGTTTGTGGTATTATGTTAAAAGGAGACTCATGTTCGTAAGATGTATCAGTGAAATCTAAAAAAAAAAAAATCGCAAACTTCAAAAATTGTTTTAAATAATGTGCTGAGATACAAGAGCTTGAGATCCCTTGCTGGGATCAGCTGTATAGAAATGTACTGGAATACACGAGGTTGATATCTCTCGCTAGGACTAAGTCTATATAAATGTAAAGAAAAGGTCACTCTGTAGCTCCCTTCCACTCACTGCGCTTTTATTTCAAGGGTCTCAAACATCTAAAACTGAAATATGTTAGCTGAGAAATTTCGAAAATGGGAATCAAGCGCAGTATATCTAGGGCCTATACGTGCCATATACCAATGAACCATCCACCCCCACCCCAAGTTTCTATATGTAGGGCGCCCTTACACCGTATTCATGCATTAAAATGGTAAGTTGTTGTTTTTTTTCCAGTTTTATAGAACATATTTGGGGATGTAAAAAAAAGTAATAACAACTATGGGTGTATGTTACATACTCAAAATGATTTGTTCTTTTTCAAGATGGCCGACGAAAGAGACGAACAAGAGGAAGAGCAGCCAAAGAGAAACACTCCAAATAAAAAATCTCCAAAGAAAGAGTCCGGGAAAAAACGCGAGGACGACAGTAGACAGAAAAAGAGTTATCCTCTCTCAGCCACAGTGAAGGGGCGGGAGAACAAAATCTACAGAACCCCCGCTACCCCTCCACCGGATGTCCAGTTGTTCAAAGAGAAATCATTCGTGCTGGATTGCAACGCGACCAGCAGCATATGTCAGGACTACTGCCGCGTCAATCCCAAACTGGGGAGAGTGATACCCCCTTACAACGCCCTGAGAGATAAGCACGTTGATAATTATTTCAAATGTTATGGTGTGAACAGAACACTAAGGAAAAACAATCAGGTAATTTTAAGTCAATGTTTAATTTACTGAGGTCTCATGGCATTTGGAACACCAATATTGAAAGAGGATTGCCGGTCATTCGTGGTTTGGTCTATTCAGCAAAGATTAACCACTTTGCCCTTTTTAACTAAATTCGAGATATTTTTCTTCTTTTATATCTTAAGGGCTCGCGATCAATGTATTGATCATTCTGGCTCCTATTTATGTAGAGGGGATTCACGATGTTTCCATGCCTGGTACTGAAGAGGATATTTCACTGGCTGCAAGGGATACTTTGTGAGGGTATCATGAACTGGGGGGTTGGAAGACCTGAGGATGTAGACACAATTGTGTTCATCAACCCCATTGGGGTTGCTAGGTTGCTAGGATTTTCCGAAGTGGGTGGTGGAGGTCGACGACCGAGCCGCTGAAGGCGTTGAGTGGGGGGGGGGGGGACTAATATCGAGTGAAAAGGGGGGGGGGGGCTGAGTGGGCCCCTCTTCAGAAATGTGTTGCTAAATTAATATGTAGGAATGCATTTTAGCGCAATTTAATTTTTTTTTTTGGTCATCATTCTAAACTTTATCGGAGAACAACAGTTGTGATGGTAGCGGAAATGATTGTGCTCGAGGTAAAAATTAATCAACTTTCAATACCCTTATAATGCATTTCACTTAAAGATGGTAATAATAAGAGGATATTATCTGACACGTCATTTAGAATGGGCACTATTTGGCTATATGTGGATTTTATTATTTGTTCAAGTCCAGATTATTTTGTACATGTGGTGCCTCTGTTCTCCCGATGACCTAAGCCCTTGTTTATTTTCCTAAATTATTAATCCTGGCCTACCTCCCGCGCTGTTAGGATTAAATCTCCTCTGTGTTCATTCATTATTTCACCACTTAATTGTGAGTTCATCTCTACAAATGTGACGTGATGGGAATACCCGCTGCAGCAGTTTAAGGACTATCGATTACTTGATCGATTCAGAAGTCAAAATAAACAATGTCTCAGGTATGTCAAGTGCTGGATTTATAACGGAGCCGTAGAGAATTACCTTTACATTATTGACTCCAGATCCTGGAAGGATTCCAATGGAGGCGATCTAATAGAAGGCATGGGAAAAAAAGGGGGTGGGGGGGCTATGGCTGTGTTTGTTTTTGACCATGCAGGGAGCCTTTGTGATGGCGTATGTTGATTAAGAGTATGTTGATTTAGGGTGTGTTGAATAAGGGTATCTTCATTAAGGGTACGTTGATATAGTGTAAGTAAATACATTTCATATTGACAAAACGTTTCTCAGTAGCGAGGGTGTCTTATAAAAACTGTCAAAATTGAGTGGTCGAAATCTTAAACTTCTTTTATTTCAATTTGTTTATTTGGGTTTAAAAGTAGGTCATCAAGTTGACATGGAATAAAATAAAACTACACGAAATTCAACTATAATGTCGACTTTAATGTCATCTATAATGTCAACTGTGATGTCAAATTTAATGTCAACTATGATGTCAACTACGATGTCAACTATGATGTCAACTACGATGTCAACTATGATGTCAACTACGATGTCAACTATGATGTCAACTGTAATGTCATCGATAATATCAACTAACAGATCTACTAATAAGAAGCAAACAAAATAGTTTCTAGTGCTGGTTTAATGTAAGCCTTTGAAAGGAGTTCCTCAGTTGTACTGTTTATGCTGAGGCGTAATGCTGTTGGCCAGTGGGTTTTTTTTTTTGTGTGCTGTGGTGCAATGCTGTTGGTCAGTTGTGCTGTGGTGTAATGGTGTTAATTTCACAGGCACCTTTGAATGCTGTTAGTTTTAAATATATGTTTATTTTTTTCACGCCAGGTCATTGTGTACACATTCGGTGCATAATAAATATCGATTGCTTGGCAAAGTCCTATCTTCAGTGTGCATTCATTAAATATTTATTCCAGATCTAAGACAGACCCAGGCAGGGGATCCGAGGCAAGGTTCAATTATACAAATCAATCGATAAAATAGCATTGATAATAAAGGTCTCGGTTTCCTTTGCTGTGTTCGAACGTATTCACCTGTTTCCCGTAGCTGTGACCGCGACAATAAAGGGGAGGTAATCAGTAGTAGAGTCACCGTAAAGGCTGATAATCCCACATGAACAAGTTGTGTTCATTTCTTTAGTCTGGCGTGAACTAGTCACTGGAGCCACAAGACGGTCCGTTAGTTTCTTGTGGAGGTGCAGGTTGTAGATGCCGAGTTCCATCCATTTTATTCCAGCTGCGTTGCGCGCCTATCAAGCCAAACAAAGTGTGACGTAATTCTAGATCATCACTGAATAACTGGAAGGACCAAGAGTTCCCTTTGAGATGGAATAATGCAAATATATTATTTCATAAACACCGACCATAACTCGGATTTCAACTCAGACAAAAATAATAACATATAAAATTAAAAGTGTAAAGACAATGCAAATATATGGCTCAAGCCATTAACTTCTTCCGAGTAACATATAAAGTATTCCACTGTAACACACAACAGATTATGTCATTGGGTCATACTTTATAAGCCATTCCACGAGCTATTTCAAGTGCATGTTTACCATTATTTATCTCACACAATCACAAGCATCAAAACACAATCAAACATTAAACTCATTGACACACTTATTGAAATAAACCAATGTCATGTCATTACCATAGCAGCTGCATCCATCTATCCATCCCTGTGGCACTACAGCCCAAGTGGGGCTTTCGCCTGCCTCACCACTTCCTTCCACTCAGACCATCCATCTATCCCGGTGGGCTACGGCCCATGTAGGGCTTTGGCCCGCTTCACCACTTCCTTCCACTCAGACCACCCATCCCTGTGGCGCTACAGCCCATGTAAGGCTTTGGCCTGCCTCACCACTTCCTTCCACTCAGACCATCCATCCCTGTGGCGCTACAGCCCATGTAGGGCTTTGGCCCGCTTCACCACTTCCTTCCACTCAGACCATCCATCCCTGTGGCGCTACAGCCCATGTAAGGCTTTGGCCTGCCACACCACTTCCTTCCACTCAGACTTAACTCATGCTTTTCTTTTCCATGCTTGTATTCCGAGCTGTTGTAGAGCCTTCTCCCCATCATCCACCAATCTCAGCCCAGGTCTGCCTTCGCGCCGTTTTCCTCTGGGGTTTTTCTAAGCGTCCTAATTAGCCCCACATCCACTTATAAACGCATATCCTTGTATTAACAGAGCACCACCACATCTAATAATAAACACAAGTTCTGTCATTACCATATCATCACCACACCCACTAATAGACCATTACCAGATCCTCACCACATCTAATAATAAACACAAGTTCTGTCATTACCATATCAGCACCACTTCCACTAATAAACCCATTTCCTGTCATTACCATATCAGCACCACATCCACTAATAGACCATTACCAGATCCTCACCACATCCTCTAATAAACCAATTTCCTGTCATTACCAGAGCAGCACCTCCTCCTCTATTGAGGGCCCGGCCGTAGACCGGTTTTATGAGCAGGGACCCGGGTACAGCTACCTGTCATTTAGAAATCAGTTCGGTGCTGGTAAGTAATAATTCACCATTAGCCATATGTGTAAAATATCCATTTAAATCTCTTTGGATTATGCAAAAACAATCATTCCAATGAATGTATGTCATTCAACTTTTTAACTAAGTAAATGATATGCGTAGGTGCACTAATAATTCCGATACAGTTAGCAGCTAGACACGATAAGCAACGATTTCTCAGATGGCTCTCTTGGTCCCATGATGACGTTCTAAGGGATGCGCCAAACTTCTGGTCACTACCTAGCTGTATCCAGGTTTAGATTGAGAGCAACGCATTCACCAGGCTCCCGCTGACACCTGTCTGCACGCATCTCGACATAGGACTCCTACCATAAAGCCAGTGTAGACTCCGGAGAGAACATGGGACCATTGACAAGATGATGTTAACGGTCAAAGGGCTAAAAAATGCCAATCGTTATATTTCAATCTTTTTTCACCTTATGTGTACCAGACTGAAGCCTGCTATATCATGATTAAATCCAGTCTCGGACCAAAGCCTTCTATACTTACTTACGTATGCTTGTTATCCCGTCTGGGGCATAGGCCATCCACAAGAATTTCCATTCATCTCGTTCATGTGCTTTCCAGTTGTTTACAAGTGTATCCCATATTTTGGGTGTGTGCCTGTGGTGTGTTCCTGTAGCAAACGTCTCCTTGTATTTGGCCTTCCTCTCTTTATTTTTGACCCTGTTGATTCCATGTTAAGCATTTTCTGGTGATGCTATCTGGGGTTTATCGAAGAGTGTGCCCTATCCACCTCTATCTTTTCCTTATGATGTCTTCATCAATAGGCTCCTGTATGTCCTTTCCCTTATATCTTTGTTGGTGATGGTATTTGGCCATTTGATGTTCAGGATCTCTCTAAGGCAAGTATTTAAAAAAGGTGTGTACCTTCTATATAATGATTGAATGCAGACTCAGAATCCGATATTCAACGGAGTGTTGATAACTACCCGAATGCCTTTAAAAAGAAACGAAACAAAAAATGGGGGTCCAGCGCCTTGTATATAAAAAAAGATAGAGGTCTTGCACCATTTATATGGAAATACTTTGGTCTTGCCCCATCAATTTCAGATGAAAATGATCAATCATGTCTGAGCACTCAGTCGAAACTAAACGTCTAAATTCATGCGAATCTTTGATATTTCTCATTTAGCTCTTGGATACTACTAGTTACTAGATCAAAATTCCATATTTGGTGCTTTACTGTGACACGATGCCCGACCTCTGAACCAAACAAAAAAACGTGTTTAAGAAAAGCACATTCTCCGGTCATGATGACATTGTCCGGTCATGATGACATTGTCCGGTCATGATGACATTGTCCGGTCATGATGACATTGTCCGGTCATGATGACATTGTCCGGTCATGATGACATTGTTGATGTTTTTTTTTTTTTGTTTTGCGTTTCCTCAACAGGTCACTCCCAGGAGACGATTGATGGCCACGCCCAGTTTATGTCAGGCATCAGGTGTGTGACGGGATACAACGGCAGGTTCGGCTTCCGACGTAACACGCCTAACCTGAGGAACAGGCCCACGCCCTTCGAGCCCGCCCTCATCACACCAACATTTTGAACATTCGATAGGAAATAAACAACATTGCTACTATACTTCTGCTACCTGTGTCCTACCAACCCCTCACAACAACGTTACTACTTTATTTGTGCTACCTGTGTCCTAGCAACCCTTCACAACAACGTTACTACTTTATTTCTGCTACATGTGTCCTAGCAACCCTTCACAACAACATTGCTACTTTATTTGTGCTACCTGTGTCCTACCAACCACTCACAACAACGTTACTACTTTATTTGTGCTACCTGTGTCCTAGCAACCCTTCACAACAACATTGCTACTTTATTTGTACTACCTGTGTCCTAGCAACCCTTCACAACAACATTGCTACTTTATTTCTGCTACCTGTGTCCTACCAACCCCTCACAACAACATTACTATTATTTTTATGCTACATGTGTCCTAGCTACCCTTCACAACAACATTACTACTGCATTTCTGCTACTTGTGTCCTAGCAATCCGTCACAACCATATTACTACTAGGCCCATATTTATGATATACTTGTGTCCTAGCAACCCTTCATAACAGATCACAATTTAGAAATCAGGCTTTGTTATATTTAAAATAAACACTGTAATAACTTTTGATATTGACTTTGTACTGAAATATGTCGGACTTGTGAAGATCAAGACTTTTTAAGATCAAGACTTGTATTTACAGGAACCAATTTATTTCATCGTTGTTTTAGATTCTAATAAATATTTAAAATAATATCTGTCTTAATCTCGCGTGAAGTCTCGTACCGAGATCAATGACGTCAGTGGATGATTCTATTTATGGGCTTGACCCCGGAAAGTGGGGTGGGGATTGGAGATTCATAGACCCTACATTAAAATTATTAATATATACGTATAGATTCTGTGCTGAACACTACAATTATATATACACGTCTCTGAATTTGTATATGGAAACAAAAACAATACGGCCCACAACAGTATTATTATGATAATTATTTTATTTTCTCTTTGATAAACTTCATCAGTATTATTTAAATTAAGTTTAACTCCATTCTGTCTTTTTGGCCATATTGCCGGTACCTTTAGGTTTATGTAATGTTCGTACATATAGGTTGACCTGGTGACCCTTCCAATGCTTTTAGTTTATATCAGTTAACCCATGCATGATTCAATTATATATCATCCTTTATTTCATAATATCAGCTGGATGAAATTAAAACAGCATGATTGCTGCTGAAGAATGTGGTCAAATTTGTTTTGTCGTGAAATGTAGATTAAACATCATTACTGCTCTCTGATTCATGAGTTAAGTTGTTTCCTCTAATTGTTGTTGTTAGTCTGTTTGGCATGTTGGTGACCTACTTAATTGATGACCTACTATTATACTTAAAGAACTTAAAATAACGTATATAAAGATACTGTTTATATCTTGCAGCATTCCTCCAGCTGGCAAAGCACTGTATGTAGGTCAAGGTTCAATAAGAATACACCTTTTAGTGCTATCTTTTCTTTTTAAAATATATTTTAATATTTGACCAATGAAAAAAAAAAGGACAGTTGTCGGGGCACTTTAAGCTATTACTCAACATGTCTTTTCTTTTTTTTTCTTTTTACGCCGATATTTCACCCTGAGTTGTACAATTTAATTTTTTTATTTATTAAGCCTTCCCTTTTCCCTTACGACAGTTCACTTGGTTTACATTAATGGGGTCACCCGATCCCAGTCCTGTTAGTGTCAATATGACCTACTTGTGTTTCAAATATCAGGTGTAGAATCATTTAACAAAAAGTTGGCTAAGCGAGACTCACAGAAATGGGCCTACTAGCAAAGCAACCATCCAGCAAACCAACAATGGTTTATCGCAAGTCCAACACAACATATAGGCCTACTTGTATCAACGTAGACTATACACTATGGAACATCCTACAGTTCACTACACCAGTTTTTCCCAAACTTTTAAGTTTGATGGACCGGTGGACAAGCTTTCCATTACAATTGGGACTGTTGCCAGCTTCATTAATATTTTATATATACTTATTTCACCCTATATTGAATGAACTGCGTCTAACCCTGGCCCGCCAATACCTAACGGTCCGCCGATCCGCGATCCGTTTCACCGTTTGCTTTGAGATGCATCCTGACGGTAGGCTTTCAACAAGTCACACCCAGTTCAGAGGCTTAGCCGTGCTAATTAATATTTGTTGACATCCTGACAATACGTTGTTTATTACTTTTTTAAATAAAAAGCCCAACGCATCATGGTAATGAAAATTAATTACAACTGTCCACGAAGTGTACAAAAATTAAAAAATATAGTTAACCGTAAAAAAAACAAAAAAAAAACAAACATGATGCAGCGGTCCACAAGCTGTGTAAAGCAGGGACTCTTTGAACAATTAAAAAATAGACACTTATTTAATGATATTATTATACAAAATAATAAATTTCCTCCATAATTTGTTTCCACGTTTTAAAATTAAAATGATCCGATTCATACATTTAAAAGCAAACAAAAAATTTTCTGCACTAACTGAGTGACACAACGATATCCAGTCTTACGGTCTATCTTGTGGTGATGTGAACATATCACAATGCACTAACTGAGTGACACAACGATATCTAGTCTTACGCTCTATCTTGTGGTACTGTGAACATATCACAATACACTAACTGAGTGAAACAACGATATCTAGTCTTACGCTCTATCTTGTGGTGATGTGAACATATCACAATGCACTAACTGAGTGACACAACGATATCTAGTCTTACGCTCTATCTTGTGGTGATGTGAACATATCACAATGCACTAATTGAGTGACACAACGATATCTAGTCTTACGCTCTATCTTGTGGTGATGTGAACATATCACAATGCACTAACTGAGTGACACAACGATATCTAGTCTTACTCTCTATCTTGTGGCACTGTGAACAAATCACAATACACTAACTGAGTGACACAACGATTTCTAGTCTTACGGTCCATCTTGTGGTACTGTGAACAAATCACAATACACTAACTGAGTGACACAACGATATCTAGTCTTACGGTCCATCTTGTGGTACTGTGAACATATCACAATGCACTAACTGAGTGAAACAACGATATCTTATCTTACGGTCCATCTTGTGGTACTGTGAACAAATCACAATACACTAACTTATTGACACAACGATATCTAGTCTTACGCTACATCTTGTGGTACTGTGAACATATCACAATACACTAACTGAGTGAAACAACGATATCCAGTCTTACGGTCCATCTTGTGGTACTGTGAACATATCACAATGCACTAACTGAGTGAAACAACGATATCTTATCTTACGGTCCATCTTGTGGTACTGTGAACAAATCACAATACACTAACTGAGTGAAACAACGATATCTAGTCTTACGCTCCATCTTGTGGTACTGTGAACATATCACAATGCACTAACTGAGTGACACAACGATATCTAGTCTTACAGTCCATCTTGTGGTACTGTGAACATATCACAATGCACTAACTGAGTGACACAACGATATCTAGTCTTACTCTCTATCTTGTGGCACTGTGAACATATCACAATGCACTAACTGAGTGACACAACGATATCTAGTCTTACGCTCCATCTTGTGGTACTGTGAACATATCACAATGCACTAACTGAGTGACACAACGATATCTAGTCTTACAGTCCATCTTGTGGTACTGTGAACATATCACAATGCACTAACTGAGTGACACAACGATATCTAGTCTTACTCTCTATCTTGTGGCACTGTGAACAAATCACAATACACTAACTGAGTGACACAACGATTTCTAGTCTTACGGTCCATCTTGTGGTACTGTGAACATATCACAATGCACTAACTGAGTGAAACAACGATATCTTATCTTACGGTCCATCTTGTGGTACTGTGAACATATCACAATGCACTAATTGAGTGAAACAACGATATCTTATCTTACGCTCCATCTTGTGGTACTGTGAACATATCACAATACACTAACTGAGTGACACAACGATATCTAGTCTTAAGCTCTATCTTGTGGTACCGTGAAGATATCATAATGCACTAACTGAGTGACACAACGATATCTTGTCTAACGCTCTATCTTGTTGTGCTGTGTGTCACAAATTACTGGGGCGGGGGTATAGGACAGAGCTCCATTGTTGTTAAAGTAACTTATAGGATGGAAGGAAACTGCTGTTAATGGGGTTAAGTTAAGGTTAATAGACTCCCACATCTTGATATAATGGGGGATTGTTTCTTTGGATAATAGTATGTTCGGGTTTTCCAGACTTCGCATGATAATTTTTGGGTTAACAATGGGAAGGTCTAATTGACCGGAAATTAGGGGGCATGGGTGTGTTTATAGATAGCATTCCTGGACCACCTATGGGGGGTAGAGAACCACATATAAGATAGAGCTTTCACTGAGTTAAGGGAGTTGAGGGAGAGTGAACAGAGGTACGACGAGTTGAGGAAGAGGGAAAGGAGCGACAGTAGTTAGTTGAGGAAGATAGAGAAGAACTACGGATTAGTTGAGGAAGAGAGAGAAAAGAGCTACGATAGAACTGAGCAGTTGTTAGGGAATACTTGCTAGAGACCAGAAGACGACAGATGATAGAAGAAACTTATATCTTAGAAATAAACATACTTTCATTATCGTTGGACACCTGGAGTTTGAGTTGTTGCATTTCGTCCAAGTCTACGTTGTGCTTTTGTCTGTCTCAACGCCTAGACACCCACAATATAAATCACAGAGAGGAGCGGTCCTGCACTGACCACTACTAAGTCAACATAGTTTGTGTTAAGTCAGGTCCGGAGCCCTCCTCCGTAACCACCGTTCTGTGACACTGTGAACATATCACAATGCACTGACTGAGTGACACAACGATATCTAGTCTTATGCTCTATCTTGTGGTACTGTGAACATATCACAATGCACTGAAGATGACAGGAAATGTAAAAGAAAAGATTAACTGACACAATGCCTTTAAGTGCTGTTTCAATTTTAGAGTATTTCAGAAGTAGTTTGCGGTATTTTATGCCAACTGCAGATTGTTTTTTCGTGCTTGGGGAGCAAACAATCTTAACTCGCCCTGAGTGACTATAACCCTGTAGCTAGCCCCTGTGTACAAGTGGCTGATTGTTCTCTAAGCTGAAAAAATGTGGAAAAAACCAACAAAATAATGAACACTGTTACGTTTTCAACTTTGCCTATGGATAAATAAATAATTTCCGCTTTTGAGCATGCGTTAAATGTGAGCTGCTTAATTTTAGATGATGAGGAATGGCCGAGGGTGTAAAGGGGCAATCTAATCTCCACCAATAGGCATAACTGATGCGTAATATAAGCTTTAACTTTATGTCATATGAATGTCCTGAAAAGTCTAAAGAAAGCTGTGTAATCAGTTTAAATTTTGTATTGTCCTATTTTCACCCAATGGATATTCCGTTCTGGTCAGGGCGACCAATATGGTTTTTCCGTTCTGGTCCGGGCGACCAATATGGTTTTTCCGTTCTGGTCAGGGCGACCAATATGGTTTTTCCGTTCTGGTCAGGGTGACCAATATGTTTTTTCCGTTCTGGTCAGGGCGACCAATACGGTTTTTCCGTTCTGGTCCGGGCGACCAATATGGTTTTTCCGTTCTGGTCCGGGCGACCAATATGGTTTTTCCGTTCTGGTCCGGGCGACCAATATGGTTTTTCCGTTCTGGTCAGGGCGACCAATATGGTTTTCCCGTTCTGGTCCGGGTGAGCATAGAAAGTTTTAGCTCATTGAAATTATTATTTAGCAAAACCATATCAATAACAAACGAGTAAAATATACGCCTAATAGTAAATATAAACTCAATGTAAAAGACCAGTGAAACATGCGCCAACAGCATGAACTTAAATTGCGCCCAAATCAAACTTGAGAGGTGGATGGAATGCAACTGTGGAGGGATGCCACTGCGGAGGGAAAAGCACTGCGGAGGGAATGGCACTGCGGAGGGAATGGCACTTTGGAGGGAATGCCGTAGCGGAGGGTGTGTCACTGTGGAGGGAATGCCCCTGTGGAAGGAATGACATTGCGGGGGTAATGCTACCGTGGAGGGAATGCCCCTGTGGAGGGAATGCGGTGAGCCACCAGAAATCAAGGACCAGAAGACAAAAAATAATAAAAGAATTGTTGATGTGGAGACAAAGGTATGGGTCCATACAAGGAGGTCGAGGTCCGTAGATTGGTTGGAGAGAAGGTTGGTGGTGGAGTAATCACATGATCGCAGGAAGAAGAGGCCTTCCACCTCTTGCGGCCCTACTTATTTTGGGAAGCATTTTCGATATTACATCTATTACTTTATTTAGATTATTCTTCTTTGCCCAGGAGCGTAACTGGGTTTTTGACGCCCCTGGCAAATTTATTTTTGACGCCCTTTTGTTTAAATAGAAATTTAAAAATTAGAGATGTAGCGGCGCCCTTTTGAACTGGCGCAGGCCACCGCCCTTGGCAACTGCCCCAATGCCAAGCCGTTGTTACACCACTGTCTTTGCCTTTTCGATTACCCAGTAGAGCAAAGGCCATTAGCAATTTCTTTCCAAGCCTTTCGGATCTCTAGCTATCATCTGCGGGTTAATGACGGCTGGCAAAGTAAGCTGATAACATAGGGCACAAGCCTACACAAATAACCTTCATACAATTTACGCAAACCATAAAGCTCAGCGACCACGTTATTAATTTTTTACGGTGACCAGACGTCCCGTTCCCTATTTTTGCATTACCCGTCCCGGCGACCCCGAAAAGGTCCGGAAATTCCTCAGTGTGTGGCGTTCTCCAGCAAATGCGTACTTTTCCCTAGACAGGGCACGTTCTCACACTTTAAGAGTCTTTTCTCTGATTAAAACAACATAGAAGTCGCAACTGAAAGTCGATAAATTGAAACATATGCTGGTTGTAAAATGAAATTTCAGTGATTCATTTGACACGTTTTTTTTTTAATAGGCTATTTAAAAATCGGATGTGCTGAGAGCTATGGGGCCATTCATAAAAGACGCCCCCCTTTGTCCACTTTTGTCTACTTTTTACTTGTCCAAAACATAAAATTTACCGAACTTAAATTAATGAATAATTTGGGAAAATGTACAACAATATAAAGAGTATGTATTTACAAAGATTTTTTTTAGAACTTCCAATTATTTGCAGGCAAAATTCTAAATGAAATAATAACTGTTCAAAAACATTTTATTGAATCACTGTATTAAAAAATGTAATAAACAAATAATTCACCACTCTTCAATCAACGGACAATTTTGACTGCAGTCATTCAAACATGTTTCGTATATTGACAACATCTGTTTTTGAGTCTTCAATTGCTAATTCAATTTGAGTGGCAGCCTCTTCGTCTGATTCGTCTGCCTTATGTTCACTAGCAGGAATATTGCAATGGACGACCTTATGTTTTTTCATTGCCGCCTGTGATGGGAAATATTTACAGCAGAAACATATTCTCTTGGAAATTCTCCCAGCCACCGATGGACAATAGAGATCAAAAGGCATGCCACTGTAACTGTGATCGGGCAGTAAATTTGCAGTAAATTTATGCAAAACTGCTGCACTAAAAAAAAACCACTACAATATGGACATCCACTTTGTCCTACCCCCCCATTTTTGTCCACTTTAGTCCACTTTTTGCTGACCCCCCTCCCCCCTTTTGTGTGGACGTCTTTTATGGATGACCCCTATCCATTATCCTCAGAAATATTACCGTGTCATGATTATGAGATTAATGATTACACTTCATTTGTTGAGGCTTCATATTTCTGACATACGCACGTTGTGTCAATTCATTTTTATTTTTGTTTAAACAACATGTCAAGTGTTCATTGCTGGTTCCTTTCTGACAAGTTGGTTTTCCTTTTACCAACATTAGAAACGTGACAAGTTCAGACTCAGACAGTATTTAATCAATTACTCACAAAACACTTTTCTCATTTATTGCTCACAAATACTTACCGGCGATTCCGGATTTACACAACGTAATGTTTCGATACGTCCATAACATACAATATACTGTATACTATAATGTACACAAACATACAGTATACTAAATAATATAATTTACACTGACATACAGTATACTATATAATATAATTTACACTAACATACAGTATACTACATAATATATTGTACACTAACATAAAGTATACAATATAATATAATTTACACTAACATACAGTATACTGTATAATATTATGTACACTATTGAAGTGGCCCTAGGAAAGCCTGTCTTTAAGTCAATTTTACCAACAGTTTAGAATTGTGTACAGAAAATCACAATATAAAGAGAGGGAACCTAATTTTTTGTCTGTAGAATGATCTCCAGGATATTTTAGTCCACGCCTACTTCGCCCCAGTAACTCCGCCCCCATCTGTGGGAGGGAGCAGGAAGCGCTACTGCAAGTGCTGTGTTTTTTTTTTTTTTTTTTTTGGAAGGGGTGGGGGGGGGGCAAAAAAATAACCCAATGTGCTTCAAAAATATACGAAGTTAAGCATCCCTAGCCCCCCAACACCCACCCCAAGAGTCCCAGGATCCTCCAGAAAAATCTGGTCACCGTATCTAAATCATGTTTTGAAAATCAGAAAACCGCTCTCAACCAGCGTTGACCCTAATGATATTGACTCCTTTCGAATTCTACTTTACAGCAACGTGTTATTTTTTAATTATACTTTATTGTGTTTGGTCGTTGATGGAGGTTTCTTGCTGTCACGTTCGTTGTTTTCTTGCGTTCTTTTTTCCCCTCAGGTTTTTCCATACTTCTTTTTTCTCATTTCGATTTATCGTAATGAAATCATTGTTAACAAATCTCTCTGTTCTGTGTCTTTCAGTTTTACGAATATAGAAAAAAAATCTACACAAATTATGCGTCAAACAATAAAAGAATAATAATTTTAACAAAATATTTTTTATTCCCGGGGCACTGGAACCTATTGTGAAACGAAAATATGTCGAAACTCGCCGGTTAAAAACAGCTGGCCCCATAAGCCCTAGCTGGAGGGGGGGGGGGTCATTTCATTTTTTTCTTCATTTTTTTTTAAAAGGGGTGGGGCAAAGTCAAAACTTGGTCAGCTTGTTAAGTTGTTTATTATTATTGCTGGAGGCGCCACAGCCACAGTACATAGCAACTTAAATAAAATCTGCAAATTCAGTGGGGGGGGGGGCAACTGCCCCACCCAAATGACTCCATGAGCCCTAGTATTTATTATTAATAATTATTTTCCGGATAAAGGCGCTGAAGCATTGCGTATAAAGTATGAAGCCTATATTCTTCGCGTGGTCCGTGATAAGGTAAAAGATGAGAGCCACTGATTTAAAGAACCCCAAAACATTGAAGAGTTACTTTTCCTGCATGGGCAAAAGTAAATAACAACACATTTGATTGGTTTATCTATTCTATTTCCGTAAATAAAACAAAAGGCTTTATTCTTATTTATTATCAACTTTCTATAGGCACAACTGTAAATTTTGTCAGTTCAAATGTATTTTTCTCCCCTTTTAATGAACACAATTGAAAAAAGAAACCCAGTTCTTTTATTTTTCTCTTAAATGATTATAAATAGATAAATTACGTCACATTCAAGCACCCAATAAGAATGACGCTTACAAATACGTTCGGCTCTGTATTTATGTTATTATTTTCTTTTTGTTAGGCAGCACCATTGGATTAAATAGTTCGTGAACATTGTTTTCATGGCTGTGAGACATGAATAACCATAATCATAACAATCACTACAGCACACATTCTAAACACAAATCAGAGGTAGGGTTTTGTTGATGATTTTTTATGTATTTGTAATTATTATTCTTGCAACGCAAAATAAAACATTTTCCCTACTTCTAATACTGAGTCCCGAGTGTTATGAAGTATAAAAATAAAAAGGAGAGTGAGAGTAATGAGTATTGTATTATTATTTTACTTAAATTTTACTAAACTGTACTGTGTATGAGTACTCCAGTCAAAGCACCTCGACTACGAAATTTAATAAGAAGATTTGCTACTACTTACTACTAATAAGCATTGTGCTAATTGTACTGTGTGTATGACTACTTCAAAGCCAAGGCCAAAGCACATCGAAATTTGATGAGAAAATGTCGCTACTTTTACTTAATATTTTAAAATATTTACTTATTTCATTTCAAGTCAATTCGAAATTCAGAAGTAAAAAAAAAAAAGTGTATTCAGCATATCACTACATTACGTAGTTTGGATCCAGTGAGACCTGTGCATTCCTTCTACTTTAACTTTAATCATAACCAATGTTCCCTCTAAGGTTTGTTGGTTCATGTGCAAAATCATAAAGTTGTGTGCAAATTTTTACAGCATCAATTTTTTTTGTGTGCAAAATTTTACAGCCTACAGACACAAACACACACTTAAGTGGAAATTAGCTGCGAGGTACTCGAAACTACTGCACCATGTCTGTGAGATTGAAGCGCGGCTGCGCAGCCGCACGGCCGCGTAGCTTATAGGGAACATTGATCATAAAGCTAAGGCCTATTTGTAAAAACTTGAGTGATTGTGAATGAGTGACATCATTCAGTCATCATTTAAAAAAAAAATTAAATTGATCTGAAAATTCCTAGTGTGGATGAACACAGAAAAAAAAGTCTTACAGAGTGTGCTTTTTTGAAGCGATATCGTCTAAATTCTGGCACAGTAAAATTCTGGAACAGTTTACCTCAACCTTTAGGGCGATTAGAAAATGATCAAAAATCATTTAAGAAACATTTAAAGAATTTTTTGTTTAAATAGATTTAAGAACACCAGAGCGTAGTGAGCATGCTAAAGTAGCATGGATACCAGCGCTATATAAATATCCAATCAATCAATCAATGGCCCTTGCATATGATTGGGTTTGTGTCACAACTTCTTTGTATCAAAGTTTGTTGGCCCTAAGTTAGTATAAGCCTAAGTTGCTCACATCACCAGTCATATGCATATTTTTTATGTCCTTAGCCTTAGCTTTGACATATGTTTCACTACAGTACAGACTATGACTATACTAGACTCCACTTTCACAGTCTCAAAATAGATTAGGCCCCTATCTTTAGTTTGTGTTTTCATACTAGATTTTGTTGGCCTATCCATGTCCATTACTTTAAAATGAATAAACATGTGCTTCATGCTCATAGAATTGAAAGCAATGAAACAATGAGTCAATTCTTATTAAAATAGGAAAAATCCAGAAGAAAGCGGCGGAGCAACTCTAAAAATGGAGCACCACCATGTAACTTTGATTGGACAAGTGTACGTAAACATTTACGTTATTTAAGCCTATAACTGTCATAATGGCCGATAATTGGCGTTATACCCCTTACTGTGGTGTCATAATTAAAAATGGGATTGCTTTAATGTATAGTATATTGGTTAAGGGCATATCATTTTATATACATGAGTAATTGCTTTAATGTATAGTATATTGATTATGGGGATATTATTTTATAGACATGAGTCTGCTTCTTATTTCCATTACTATCTGTGTGTTAACATGCTTTTATCAGGGATTTTAACACAATAAATTTGGTTGTGAAATTCGCTCAATTCTTGACAGCCATGTCTGATTCTGGAGAGGATCCCCCTCTAGATTGCAAAATCAACACAGAATTTCTTTATTGGAATTATTTCAAATGGATTAAAGTGCAAGCGATGATTTCAAAGAGATGTCATGTGCTAGTAATGACAGTATTAACTCTAGCCTCGAGGTGATGGCAACATTAAGAGCTGGGTGGATATGGACAATTTTAGCCCTAAGTCCTAAGCTTAATCCTTAAGTAAAATTATTACAGACAAATTTGTTTGGGAAAGGGTGAAAATCAAACAGAAAAAGACAAAGATTGGATCCTGAAGAGATTCAAAGATGTTTGTGTATGTTCTAGAGTATTAATAAAAAAAAAGGATTTAATGACTTCAATTCAAAAGGAATTTTTGAACAAATTTTGTGCCTCCCTCTTGTATTTTTTATGACAGAAATTTTCAGGTAGTGAATAAGAAAATTTCACCAATATTTCAATTTACACTAAAAGTACCTATAACTTAACATTTTCTGAAAGAATATTGCTTCTAGTATCTCAAAAACTCGGTTTTATGATAGTTTGAACAGTTAATCAAGTATTAAATTGCGTTGAATTCAGAAGTTGAGAAGTAAAATTGTTCTCACTCTGTAAATGTCAAGGTCAATATACATCAACATACATAATATAAAAAAAAATTTTTTTCATACCATAAAATTCTTCATCCAATGTCATTTCAGAAAATGTATACTTGTAGGGGTCTTGTTGAATTCATTTAGTCTGGGATTTTGTCATTTTTGACAAGTATATGAAAATGCTAAAAATGGTATATAGGCCTATAAGGTTAAATTGGATTTATTTTTAAGTAAATGTGGAATAATAAACTAAAAAAGTGAAGTATTCAATATGATGTGTTAATTGGGTTATAAAATATTTGAGTCTCCTTAAATTTTTAGATTCAAGGGTTACAGACTAGGCAATATCTGTAAAATAATAAATGTATTTTTCAAAGTCCGCACTTTGTAGGCTACCATCCTTTTATAAAATTGAAGTCCATTTATAAATTTTCAAGGTCACTTCTGAAACTATTTCAGAAACTTTATGAAAAATATTAATGTATAAACCATCATCTCTTCAATTATATTATGTTTAATCAGGAAAATTATGCAGTAAAAAAGATGTTATAAACTTTGCCTAATTTTGTGCTTTAAATTAAAGATTGTCAAGATCATTTGGAAGAAAGAGTGCTATGTTTAATTGTGTTATATTAACTTGGTAAGAAACGAGCTTCGTCATGAAGAGGAAACATATTTGATAACCATATATTTATATTTTAACCAGTAAATGGCCAGGATTTGAGTTCTTAAAGAGGTTTCCTTTTTTTTGGTTGCTATTTATAGATAATCTTTCTTAATCCCAAGACATAATCTTTGAAATTCTATTTTATCTTCACAGATATCTCAAAATACTTATGAAGATGATGCTGTGATTAACAAAAAATTGCCAAAGGAGCTTTTACTCAGGTAAAAAAAAACAGCATTTATTGGACATTTAATAAAAAATAATTCTATATGATGTTAAGGTTAACTCACTAAAGCTTGATGTAGATTACTCAATTAAATGTTTTAGCTATCACTTTGGCTAAGTGTTAAATTTTAAATGTGATAATTGTCACTTTGGCTAAGTGTTAAATTTTAAATGTGATAATTGTCACTTTGGCTAAGTGTTAAATTTTAAATGTGATAATTGTCACTTTGGCTGAATATTAAATTTGATAATTGTCACTTTGGCTAAATTTTAAATGTGATAATTGTCACTTTGGCTGAATATTAAATTTGATAATTGTCACTTTGGCTAAGTTTAAAATTTTAAATGTGATAATTGTCACTTTGGCTAAGTGTTAAATTTTAAATGTGATAATTGTCACTTTGGCTGAGTTTTAAATTTAAATTTGATAATTGTCACTTTTGCTAAGTTTTAAATTTTAAATGTGACAATTGTCACATTTGATGACATGCATTTGTGTTGACATCTTATTAGTTGTATTCATTAGACGACCTTACACATGTAACACAGCTGTGTTTGTTTATGATAGTTTTAAGTAGAATGTTGCAATTTGGTAGGTACATTAGTGTATAGACACATGTAACTTGTTAATGCATATACATAACCATTACTTTGATTTCCACCAGGATATTCTCTTACCTTGATGTGGTGTCATTATGTCGCTGTGCCCAGGTCTCCAAGGTATTTCATGACATTTTGTTTGTTCATAGCCATGGAGGCTTGTTATTGCCAGGGAAATTTAAATTGTTCATTTGAACATCAAGTAACTTTAATTTCTAATTATCGCGAGGGGTGCCTCTAAGCAAACAAAAAGTCTTATTATAGTAATAACAAATTTTTTGTTTCTTTTGTTGATTAACCTCAGGTATTTGTTGTTTCAGTACTGGAACATGCTGGCCCTGGATGGCAGCAACTGGCAAAAAATTGACCTCTTTGATTTCCAGACTGACATTGAGGTAATTCACTCATTCTAAAGTTACAAAACAAAACATTTAGAAAGCTCTTTTAAAAAGGTTGTGTCATTGGGGATATATGTCAAATTGAATTTTTGCACAGATGACAGGATGTGTGTTTGGGGATATGTCATACTTCAATTTCTGTACAAATGACAGGATTTGTATTTGAGCTTGTTCTACAAATACTTTTATGTAATAGACAAGCGGCAGTGGTTGGGTATGTGATAGACAAGCGGCAGGGGTTGGGTAAGTGATAGACTAGCGGCAGTGGTTGGGTATGTGATAGACAAGCAGCAATGGTAGGGTATGTGATAGACAAGGGGCAGTCGTTGGGTATGTGATAGACAAGCGGTAGTGGTTGGATATGTGATAGACAAGCGGCAGTGGTTGGGTATGTGTCACAAATTATTTTTCTTCTCTGTTGGTCAGGGTCGAGTGGTAGAGTACATGTCACAACGATGTGGTGGTTTCCTCAAGTCTCTCAGCTTAAAGGGCTGTCAGAGCATAACAGATGGGGCTTTGCAGTAAGTCTGTACATGGACCCATCATTTCTGTGGTTTCCGAATGTCATTTGTTTTTGTGGCTCCCAACTGTCATTTTTTTCTGTGGCTCCCAACTGTCATTTGTTTCTGTGGCTCCCAACTGTCATTTGTTTCTGTGGCACCCAACTGTTATTTGTTTCTGTGGCTCTCAAATATCATCATCATCATATGAATTACCACTGATATAATACGAATAAATCATATAATTTAAGCAATGTCTTCACAACAAAATAAAATATTCTCAACTAGTTATTTAATAGCCCGCCAAACATCGGCGACAATGTGTGAACTTCCCATTCACTAAAGTTACTTGACAAAACATGAACTCGAGTATAAAACATTTATGAATTCCAATTTTTGTTACACACACACCCTGACCAACATGATACTTCACTGCACACTTTTTTTTTCACGCCCAAGAACTATATTAAATATTCTGATGTCCCAAACACTTTTAAACTGAATATTTGTTTTTACACCATACTTAAATTGAGACGATTTCATTTATTAAAAAATATTACGCACCAAACGAAGTTGCGTTATTAAAAAAATATAAATGATTTAGCGTAGTTCTCGGGAATTATATTTTGCGCGCTACTGAACTCATTATCTGTATATAGCCTAAGTGGTGGTGGTGTTTGACCTTTGCTGGTGAATTATATATATAGATTCCAAATATTTCAATTATTTAATTGTAGTTAGTGTCATTGATATGTGGTCTAAGCATATTTGTTATATTAAAAGTTCACTTCATTTGAACTACCTTAACAAACAAAACAATTAAGCTTCAGTAGGTATTTCAATGACTTAGTCAGTCCCACAACAAAAAACAATTTTATAATCAATTTTAGTATATTTTAATTCCTTTATTAAATATCATTCCAATCCCCATATTTCTTTGCAATAAATTATTTTTTGTATACAGCTGACAAAAAATAAATCAGTTGTTGATCATAAGAATGTTACTCAAATGGGTCACACCTCTTTATATTTTTCATTTTGATTTCAGAAATTTTGCTCAACAATGTAGACACATAGAAACATTAATCTTGAGCAAGTGTACAAGTATCACAGATGTGTAAGTAGATTTTGAAGGATTACTTCATGTAGTTGGCAAGGTCCATGAGTTGCATAATGTACATTTTGTTTATTCTAATATTCAATAGCTCACTATCTCGTCATGGTAGTTTTGCAAAAGGTGGGGGTTGGGTTTGTTGTTCACTCTGTCACAATGAGAACTCTTATTTTACCGCTGTAGGGGTGTCATGGTCATGAGATTTGGTCCTATGAAGCCAACATTGCTGGGTATGACACAGAATTCTGTTACCTTGTTTAAGAGTCTGAGTTGAGTACACACATTAATCCAGAGTTAGCGTGGCAAAATTGTCAAAATGAGAACCTGAATCTGATCATGTTTTTATAGATGTGTGTATATATGTGATAATTCTGGGAGTATAAATGCTACATTGGCCTTTGCTGCAACATATGACCCAGAAACATTACCTCTATTTTTCAGAACATGTGAAAGTTTAGGAAAATACAGTTCTAAATTACGTAAACTGGACCTGTCGTCATGCCCAGATATTACAGATGCCTCTTTAAAATATCTCAGGTATTCAAGTACTAGGGGTATCAGTATTTACGTTCAAATGCATTGATAGTTGTGCTGATAAATATGTAAGGACCAGCCTGTAAATAATACTCTGTTGCATAATGAATTTTAAAAAGACTTTGGTAAATAACCAACCAAAAAATGTTTTGCATTGGGTCTCTATTTAGTGCCAATAAATTAAAATAAGATCCATATAAATAACTTAGTGAAGTACACCGTAAAATAAGATCTTTAGAGTTTCAGCAAGGGGTGTAATTTATTTCAACAAAATGAAGTCTCTAGTTTTTTTCCCTTCATTTAATTTAGCATTCAGCCTAACAGGTCATTAAATAGAAATCTACATCTTACATTGTCAGAAAAATTGACTCCTTTTTGTCTTATTGAGGGATCAATAATAGTCTTACCTTAACTTTGACATCAGAGTCACTGGGCTGACAATCAACATTTACATTACAGATTTAAAAGTCACACTTGTGCTTCCTCCAGCGCCCCCCCCCCCCTTTTTTTTTTTTGTTCAGATAATTTTCTTAGACACCCCCAGTGCTATTTCAGTTATTCAACCTCTTCCAACCCCACCCCCTTCCCCACGAATCAATTTATTTATACACAATTATGACATCACATTAAAAAACATTTGTCACATTTTTTCACCTTCTTTGTTGAGCCCAGTGTTTCTACTCCACCCTGGAGTGCCGCGTTGCCTCTGGGCAGGGCCATGCCAAAGACACAATCCTATATTTAATAAAACTGTAACTACTGTCTCAAAGAAGTGTATTTGTTAGAATTTTATGTAGCGTACCTGGTGAAAACCTAACTTTGGCAAGGGTGCCGAAAATTTAAAAACAGTTCTAGGGACCGCTGGCGTAGCCACACAAAATTAACTAAAAATGTCACAATTAACTAAAAATGTCATGCAAAGGAACTTACAGAGGGGTATCCCATAAACAATGACACAAACTAGATACATGTACCACACTGTAATCATAAATTAATGGGAACCCCCCCCCCAACACACATATCAACACTTTTTCCCATAAATGTGTGATACCATTTATGATGGCTTCCAAGGCAAATGGTGGACTAAATATTACTGTTGCTATTGTAATTCCATTGTGATACTGGTATCTAGCATGTTAACTTGTGAAAACACAAAGCCACAGTATGATGACAATAACAAAACATTGCATGGTATTTTTAAAGCCTTTTAGAGCTATAAATAGGCTATTTATAGACAGTCTGAATTTTAGGATAAGTCTTGCAGAGTTGTTATATTTTGTTTTTAATAAATGTACATAATTTCTGCCGAGAAAGCCCCATACCCTCCGAAAAGTTGTTGGCGTGAATCCATTAAACAAAAGTAGTGGCTTGACTGCAGTAAACAGGTAGTTTCGGACAAGATGTCAATATATTCATTTTTGTTGTAAAGTCTGTTTTTAATATTGTATGTTGCATATTCCAGTAACACAAGTCCCAGCAGCACTGGCCAGGTAAGGGGCTGTCCTCTTTTGGCCTATTTGGATGTGTCATGGTGTAACAATGTAACCAATGAAGGTGTCATAGCGCTGGCTCAAGGTTGTACAAAAATCAACACGTTTTTCTGCCGAGGCTGCACTCAGGTTGGTCATTGGTATATTTACTGACTAAAGATTATAAAACTTGTGTGTAGTCTAGAGACTGACCGAATGAGATTTCCTGATGCTGGCCGAAACCTAAACCAAACTGAAAGTTAAAATGACTTTCTGTCAAGGCTGAAACCAAACGCTTTACAAGAATTTTGGCCGAAACCGAAAGTTTAAGATAATTTTAAACTCGTTGGCGCATATGTGCTGCAAAATCTTAAAATGATTGGTGGGGGGGGGAGTATCTATATTTATATTCTTTTTATCAAAGATGAGATTATCGTGAATTTTAATAGATAAAGATCTAATGAATATTTTGGATTTTACTTTTTGAATTAAAATTTAAATTGGTTAAAAACATTAAAGTAGTGTGGTAAGATAAAATTTTGATGGTGGGGGGGGGGGGGGGGGAAAAAATTTATTCCAAATAGACCCCTGTGTGCCATTCGATTCTATAATATAATTACAATGCTACCTAGTCATATTTGAGATTGATCGAAAGCGTAGCCTATGTATTTTTTTATTGGTATGGCCCACTAAAATGGCATAACATAAGCCTTGAAGGAATTCTTTTTTCCACTAACCTAGACATTTTTGCTGACACACGCTTCCTTATTGGTCTCCACATCAAAATTTTTCAGTTATACGCATTCATCGGCTAATTTTATATTTGACCCAAAATTAATGAAAAGTTGAGCGAATGTTGAACTATGTTTAGTATCATTATACAGTTACAGACCTGGTTACTCTGGAATTCCCAATATACTACAATATAGTCTCAGAATAGTACTTTACCATTTCAAAATCGTACATTACCGTTATGTAATAGTAAATAAATAAACATACAATAACTATTAACATCACATGTCTAATAAAGGTCAAAGGTCATATCTTAAAAGTAGATGACTGACGTTTATATATTTATATACAGTGAATATTCCAAATAAAAAGGTCCCCATTGGTTGCCTCTTTGAAAGGCGGAGATGTGGGGGAGAGGGGAGATGTGGGGGGGAGGGGAGATGTGGGGGAGAGGGGAGATGTGGGGGAGAGGTGAGATGTGGGGGAGAGGAAATTGAGGAAGCCTGCTGAATGAGCCCCCATCCCAGATCATTGTTTATAAATTCAAAATGCAGCGATGCATGGGGGGGGGGGGGGGGGGGGGGGGGGGGGGGGGGGGGGGGGGGGGGGGGGGGGGGGGGGGGGAGAGGGGAGATGTGGGGGAGAGGAAATTGAGGAAGCCTGCTGAATGAGCCCCCATCCCAGATCATTGTTTATAAATTCAAAATGCAGCGATGCACTTTTGTGTATACCAGAATATAGTTTTGTATCATTCTAGACTTAATGGTAATGGTTGTGAAAAATTGGGTGCCCCTTACCATCGCTTTGTTTACATAAATCCTTTTTATTTTTGTAGTACAGAAGTTAAACAAATTTAACTTTAAGCTATTTTTAAAAACCAGTTCAAAATAGGAAAATAGGGGTTGGTTCACCAAAATGACGCATACTGTTCCCAAAAAAGTGATGTACATAAATAAACAAAATAACATGCGTTTTATGCCATTAAGCCTAGGTGCCTGAATTAATTTTCCATAAACATATTGTGGTCTGAAACTACTGCAAGCTCACTATATTGTTGAGAATGCATTTTGAAAAAAAAATATGTAGTCTTGAAAGAGGAGCGCAGATTCCACGCCTATGGAATTATTCAAATCATCCATGCAATGTGCACGTCTGTCAGTGTAGCCAAATTTGAATGCCAGAGCTTTATTGGAGGATGGGGCATATATATATTATTTTTACATACAAAGAGTGGGGGGGGTGGAGTAGTATGGAGATAACATATAATGATAGCAAGACGTTGTGCAATAATGAATTTTGGATTGCTGACCGACAGAGTGACCGCCTAACTTCTGGTAGACGACCATAAACCTCAATTACTTTCGACCGAAACTGAAAGTAAACCAAAAGTTAACTTTTCTGTTTGTACCAAAACTACGCCAAAAGTGCTCGATTAGGCCATTTTGCCGAAACCGAAATTCAGCCAACCACTAGTGTGGTGAAGGGTTTGATTTATTTTTGTTTGTGGTGGTTGGGTTTCTTTGTGTGTGGTTTGGAGGCAAGGAAGGGGGGGGGGGGAGGCCGTTTCTTTGTGTGTGGTTTTATTTAAATGTTTTGTGAAAACTTAATGTAAGAAATTGTTCATATTTAAAGTTGATACAATTTTGATTTCAGATAAGCAATGATGGTATGTAATCTTAATTTCAGATAGCCAATGATGGTATGTAATCTTAATTTCAGATAGGCAATGATGGTATTGAGATGTTGGCAACCTGTGCCGAGCATTTGATGAAACTTAACGTACAGAACTGTCAGGTAAACCCTACTGCCACCAAACTTCTTGTTTGTCTTATAGTTTGCAGCTATGCTCTAGCAATCCACTGAAAAGAAAGTAAAGCATAGCATTTTTGTCTGCTTGATTAGAGAGCAGTGAGCTGTTCTCTGCCATTGACTCAGTGCCACTACTTTATGATTCAGTCAAAGCAAAACGATGTCATTTTTTTAATTGATTACAGAACATCACCGATGATGCCATCATTAAAATAGGTTCCAACTGTCCTGGCCTGACACTGCTGTGTGCCTCAATGTGTAATCACCTGACTGATGCTAGCCTGGTCGCTTTAGGGAAAGGTTGTCTTGAATTAAGGTACCTTACCATCAACTAGTTAAAAACAATTGATAATTTCTTCAAATCGTGTCATATTTTAACAATGTTATATTATGTAGAGCTTGTTTATAACACTTTTTCCCCGTGCGTGAACTTTCTTTGACCTCGCATTAGACTCCTAGCAGACAGTAACGTTTGCTGTGAGCGTGGTTAAATCTCTTTGATGTATCTTGTTTGCCACCGCCTTCCAATTAAACATGGTTAGAATGTCTACTAGTCTCTTGTCGAAGGTTCTCGATTGTATTAGAAAAATAAGGGCGTTTCTAGACGCGTCGGTAGACCCACATATATAAGGGATTGACAGGCAGAGAGGGACGGAGATTCAGATAGATATTTGTAACTTTACGAGATGTATATTATTCTTTGTGTTCTTATATATGTGTTATTAGCATTTCGTCATTGTACATTATTAATTGGCACATTGTAATAACTGTGTATCGTACAAGATCTACCTTACTGTAAGTTGATGATTTGTAATGATATTTCTTTTGTTTTGTAATTGTATTATTACTAAATTAAATCTTACTAATTGTATTTGGTACTGTTTTCGGTGTCGTATTTTTGTCATTGTATTTCTCTATGGTATCGTCCTTTGTTGTGCACTGCTTGAATGAGCCATAACATAAAACCAGAGATTAATTTCTCACAAGAGAAGTCAGTGCGTAACAGTTATTATATTTTATTTAGTAAGTTTCCATTTAGATATTTTGAATTTACTCTAGTTCAGCTAATGAAACAGAAATATTCCCTAACCATGTATTGGTACCTTACAATCTGCTGACATCATCATTTCCTTGACTTCTTAGAACTTTAGAGGTTTCCGGCTGCACTCACCTGACTGACAGCGGCTTTCAGGAGCTTACAAGGGTAAACATCTTCTTTTGTTTTAACTCTTGTATTTTAAAACTAATAAGACTATAGAAGACTTTTTTTTTTAGCTTGGCCAGTCTCACATTTTAAGTCAACTTTAGCAAGACCTCTTTTATATGATCATGCCAAATGTACATAAAAAATAAACCAATAGCATGACAAAAATACACAGATAATATAAAAGAGACCTATAGCATGACACAGATAACATGTGCGTACCCTAGAGGCCATTCCTCTTCTAGCTAAATCAACATACTTTTGGGGAAAAGCTGAAATATTTTAAACTGTTTGTATCCATTCATGAAAGTTGGTATATTGTACATTTGATGTTATATGGTATAAGTCAGTAAACTGTACCTTAGATGCTATATGGTATAAGTCGGTAGACTGTACCTTAGATGTTATATGGTATAAGCTGGTAGACTGTACACTAGATGTTATATGGTATAATATTTGCACCAGTTTATCCAACTAGCTATTGGTTAATACTTTTTTTACATTTCAGAATTGTCATAAATTGGAAAAGATGGATCTAGAAGATTGCATTCAGGTTTGAGAACTTTATTATCATTTTCTGATAAATTTTAAAAATATTGAGTGAAATGAATGTAAGAAGTATAGGAGAAGAACCCTTTAGGGCTTGATCTGTTTGGTCATTTGATAGAAGAACCCTTTAGGGCTTGCTCTGTTTGGTCATTTGATAGAAGAACCCTTTAGGGCTTGATCTGTTTGGTCATTTGATAGAAGAACCCTTTAGGGCTTGCTCTGTTTGGTCATTTGATAGAAGAACCCTTTAGGGCTTGATCTGTTTGGTCATTTGATAGAAGAACCCTTTAGGGCTTGCTCTGTTTGGTCATTTGATAGAAGAACCCTTTAGGGCTTGCTCTGTTTGGTCATTTGATAGAAGAACCCTTTAGGGCTTGCTCTGTTTGGTCATTTGATAGAAGAACCCTTTAGGGCTTGATCTGTTTGGTCATTTGATAGAAGAACCCTTTAGGGCTTGCTCTGTTTGGTCATTTGATAGAAGAACCCTTTAGGGCTTGATCTGTTTGGTCATTTGATAGAAGAACCCTTTAGGGCTTGATCTGTTTGGTCATTTGATAGAAGAACCCTTTAGGGCTTGCTCTGTTTGGTCATTTGATAGAAGAACCCTTTAGGGCTTGATCTGTTTGGTCATTTGATAGAAGAACCCTTTAGGGCTTGATCTGTTTGGTCATTTGATAGAAGAACCCTTTAGGGCTTGATCTGTTTGGTCATTTGATGCCAGATGTTTGGTGTAACACTTTGAATTTAAACCATTGTAATATAGTCAGAAAGCCAGAGACAGATAGTAGAGGTAATAGTTGAATTTAAACCATTGTAATGTAGTCAGAAAGCCAGAGACAGATAGTAGAGGTAATAGTTGAATTTAAACCATTGTAATATAGTCAGAAAGCCAGAGACAGATAGTAGAGGTAATAGTTGAATTTAAACCATTGTAATATAGTCAGAAAGCCAGAGACAGATAGTAGAGGTAATAGTTGAATTTAAACCATTGTAATATAGTCAGAAAGCCAGAGACAGATAGTAGAGGTAATAGTTGAATTTAAACCATTGTAATATAGTCAGAAAGCCAGAGACAGATAGTAGAGGTAATAGTTGAATTTAAACCATTGTAATATAGTCAGAAAGCCAGAGACAGATAGTAGAGGTAATAGTTGAATTTAAACCATTGTAATATAGTCAGAAAGCCAGAGACAGATAGTAGAGGTAATAGTTGAATTTAAACCATTGTAATATAGTCAGAAAGCCAGAGACAGATAGTAGAGGTAATAGTTAACAAGTCAGAGACTGGAACTACGAACACATCCACAGACTACTGTCAACATATTCACAGACTACTGTCAACACATCCACTAACTTTATCATAATTAATAATGTCATTGAAGAAAAAGAGAGAACAAATAATGTATAAAAATCTTTTATTTGCACAACATGAGGAATATTTGTTAGGTAAAGTGAGCAGTAATAGATTCACAATGGTTGACTCATTTCACCCTAGCTAATCATTGAGTTGATAAAGTGATGTTTTCTTGGGTGCACTCATCATTTCAGTTTGGATGTAAAAGTAAATTGTTTTTGTCTCCAGATAACTGATGCAACATTGGGTCACATAGCCAGCCACTGTCACCAACTAAATGCCTTGGTAAGTTAACTCAAGTCAACATTGACAGCTTCTACGAACATCTCATTGACAGCTTCTACGACCATCTCATTGACAGCTTCGATGACCATCTCATTGACAGCTTCTAATACCATCTCAATGACAGCTTCTGCAGCCATCTCATTGACAGCTTCTATGACCATCTCATTGACAGCTTCTATGACCATCTCATTGACAGCTTCTAATACCATCTCATTGACAGCTTCTGCAGCCATCTCATTGACAGATTCTATGACCATCTCATTGACAGCTTTGACAACCATCTCATTGACAGCTTTGACGACCATCTCATTGACAGCTTCTATGACCATCTGATTGTGAGAAACAACCAATAGGAATATTTGTTAATATATTTCTTGAGGCAAATTTATTCATGATAATAAAAACTATTTAATGTGAAGAATTGATGTAGTTTCAGCCTAGTTTACTTTACAATAAATGATTCAAGTCACAATAACTAACTAGTTAATAAATCACAGATAATATACCAACCAATAAATGACTGATAATTTACCAACAAAAAATATTGAGAAAATAACGTATGCTCTCTGAAAGCAACTGCTCAAAACACATCTCTCCCAAAACATCACTATACAATGCAATACACACAGTGCAATCATTTCCCAGAGATTCTAAACATCTTGTTAGGTTCTCTTGACCTATCGCTCTCACATGCCACTCTAATCTTTGTGACAGGTCAATAACTAAAAAAACTAAATGTTTGCTTCGCCATGTCCATTCCCACAGTCTTTATCCCACTGTGAGTTGATCACCGATGAAGGAATTCGCCAGATCGGCTCCAGCCTTTGTGCCACTGAAAATCTTCGTATCCTGGAGCTGGACAACTGCCCCCTGATAACTGATGCTGCCTTGGAACATCTACAGGGTTGTCAGTCCCTTCAACGTATTGAGATCTATGACTGTCAGCTGATCACTAGGGCTGGTATTCGTAGACTGAGGGTAGGAGAAGAAATTCTTATTGTTGACATTAAGTGACACAAAACTGATTTGCCAGATTGTATTGGCGGGTTTGAAATTTCTAGATAATTGGTAATTTTATGTTTGACGGCCCCCCCCATCCCCCCCACTTCCCCCCATGTTCTACCGCATCTTTGCGATACTTTCTTTGTTGCCTTACGGTGGATGTGTCAACAAAGTAGTGCAAAAAATAACAAAGGGATGAAAATAGGGAGGGGAAATGTATCGAGTGTGTTTGAGCTACTTAACAAGACAAATGGAAATAAGGAATAGGATGAAATGAGTTTGGCTAATGTTTTAAGGAAGCTTATGTAAAAAAAGAAATTTTTTGCAGTTACCGTTGCATGAGAATTATTATATTAACCCGCAAGCTGTCCAATGGGGTATCAACACTTTTTTTAGTAACTTTGATGTGTCACTAAAATATCCAAAGCTAATAGAAATTGAATTTAGAGACCCATGTAAATATAAATAATCTGATGAGAGTAAATTGGGCATGGAATCATATGGTATGAATGTTGGAATTCTGTGAGATATGTGAAATGAAATTAACCTTGACCTTTCAAAAGTGAGAGTACAATTGTGCTACTTTTAATCTTTTGAAACTCACACTTACTGTTGGGTCATGTTGGTCATTTAAATAAATTTTCAGACACATAAAATTATTTTTTCAATTTAGAAAATATAAAATTATTCAGGTTGATATAAATTTTTAAAAAATTAAAAAATTAAATGCCTATTAAATTCATTAGTACCATTTTCCCCTTTACTTCCATGATTAGAACTTGGACTGCTTCAATATTGCCATTGTCACTACCATGTGGAAGGCCTACAAAACTTCTTCAAAATAACTTTCTTAAAGAAATAATTTAAATAAATTAGGCTTTTGTTGAGCAGGGCCAACATCTGAGGCCATTATCACTACCATGGTTAAGGCCATGTGATCATATCAACTTGAGTCAGTGATCATGTCAACTTGAGTCAGTGATCATGTCAACTTGAGTCAGTGATCATGTCAACTTGAGTCGGTTAACTTGTCAACTTGAGTCAGTGATCATGTCAACTTGAGTCAGTGATCATGTAAAAATAAATTATTTCTCTCATCATTGCCTCCTGATCTGTTTGTGGAGGAACCTTAAAATTATATACAAATGTTACCCATCCAAGTTTAGCTATCCAAATTTACCTAACCTAGTTTAGCTGTCCTTCCTAATCCATTTTTTTTAGATCCATCACAATTGCTTAGAAAGTTTAGCAACATTTAATACTATTTATGTATGTTAAATAATTGGTGGTTGATCCACAGAATTAACATTACGGATAGCATGCTGTCGTATACAGAAAATAATTTAAAGGGAGTCAACTATATTTTTTTGTCTGTTGTAGAATCATCTCCAGGATATTTTAGTCCACGCTTACTTCGCCCCAGTAACTCCGCCTCCGTCCGTGGGAGGGGGCAGGCAGCGTTACTGCAAGTGCTGTGTTATTCTTTGACAAAATAAGACACTAATGTACTTCAAAAATAGATGAAGGTAAGTAACAGCTTACTGTGTTCTATCTAACTAGACTAGAGGGCTATTAAAGATTGCTGTCATAGATGGCTCTAATGGATGGCCTATTAATGGCTCTAATACAGGCTTATATAATATAGGGCCGCATGTGGTCCACGGGCCGCGTGTGGTCCGCCAGCACCCACTTGGCTACCAGCAAACTAACAAAATATTCTTAATTATTATTATTTTCTTAATAGCTGTTTTTCCTGTCCTGTTATCTTTTGGCCCGCACAAGTTTTTCATAACATATTACGGCTCGCACCAGTTTTTCATAAAGTATTACGGCCTGTATTACATTTTGAGTTGTGCGACCCAGCTCTAATAGATGATTCTTGAAAATAAATGGCTCTAATATAAGGGTCCCGTAGATGGCTCTCATAGGTGGCCCTAATTAATGGCTCTCATAGATGGCTCTTAAAGATGGATCTCTTAGATTGCTATTATAGATGGCTCTCCTCTTAGATGGCTCTCATAGATGGCTCTGGTGGGGCAAAATGTCCTATGTGAAGGTCTTAGATATACAGACACTTGTTAGTATTAAAGGTTTCTACGGATTCGTTATTTTGATGTCGACCTTGTATCCCAAATTTCTTGGAATTAAAGGGTTTGGAAATTTAAAAGAAAGTAATTCCTTTTTAAAGAGCAATTTCAACAAACACAGATAGGTCCAAATCCAAATTCGATCTTAATGCCAAGGGTGTTTTTGTAAGCTTCTCAAGTCTCTTGTCTCAGGCTTCCTTAATCAATTTCATATTTGCTGATGGTGCATTTTTTTCTAATGAATTTCAGATGACAAACTAATCTGCTGTATCACAGTTAAAGAATGGTCTTTTCATCTGTGCAACTTGATATATTTTCATGAATGTTGGACATCTCTACCTGAATGATGTATATCTCTACCTGAATGAAGGACATCTCTACCTGAATGAAGGATGTCTCTACCTGAATGAAGGATGTCTCTACCTGAATGAAGGACATCTCTACTCGAATGTCATCGCTGCTTGAAAGCTGATAATTGGTCTTAAAATGCAGTAAATAGCCAAGAGTTTGAAAGTCTGAGAGTGAAATTTTTCTTCCAGAGTCAATGCACCTTCTTGATAAGGTAAAGGTTTCAAAACCATCATTTCTCATACACACCACTTGAAGAAGGCCATTATTATTATTTCATCTTGTTTACATTTTGATCAACATTGTTTGGTTCAAATCTGATGATTATGATATCATTATAGATCCAGTTTGAAATATGTTTGATTGCTGTAATAAGCTGGTCACCTGCACTGGTTTGTTGAATTGTAGAACTTGCTTCAGTCAAGTTTACTGGACCAGAATACAAAAAATAACATTTTACCATTCAATGAAACAAGACAACAAAAACATTGACAGTCATTTCTATTCATATCACAGCCATTTAATTTCGCATTTGAAATTTTGCATACCTGTGGCAATTGTGGCAATCTCATCTTTAAGTTAAAAGAGATTTGTTACTTGGAGGGGATCAAAGGTAAAATAAATCTTTCAAGTTTTTAAAATCCACCATCACCCTGACGATAGCCTGTGCTTGTTTGAGGACACTTGGCCCAGAAATGGTCACACTGTTATGGAAGAAATGGTCACACTGTTATGGAAGAAATGGTTGCACTGTTATGGAAGAAATGGTCACACTGTTATGGAAGAAATGGTTGCACTGTTATGGAAGAAATGGACAAGGTTTTTGTTTTGTTTGTCTTTCATCAATTTTGTTGATGTATTTAAAATAAGAAGTGAAAGAGTATTTTCATTACTTGCCATGTATGACATCCACCATTTCTCAATGTAATGGGGTTCATTATGACCAGGAAGTAAGCTTGCCCTGAGTTCATTATGACCAGGAAGTAAGCTTGCCCTGGGTTGGCTGTTAAGCCATGTTAAATATAGAAAACATGGACCTCAAAACTTTATAATCTTACCAACATATTTTCATTGCAAAAACCTTGTGTAGTTGCTACACTTTCACTTTCAGCTGTTGTTTTTGTTTTGTTGCATTGATAATAGTGTTGAAATTGTTGCTTCCATATTTTGAACCTTATCCACACCCGGATGCACAAGGCTGATCAATAAAGTGAAATCCATTCTTAATCCACATTTAATATCCGTAGTGAATATGCCATTAGAAAAGTGCATATTAACAAAACCAGCCAAGGCCTCGGCAAGCTTCTAGAAGAATACAGTACACTCAGTACATGACAGACTGTAGGATGCCATGCACTCGGTACATGACAGACTGACATACAAAATTGTAACTTCATAACACGAGTGCGCCATTTAAAGAAAGACAGAGAGAGAGAGAGATTTGGTCTTGTTCAACAGCTCTCATCTGTCCATGAAAATCAGTCTTGAACCAACATTACTCTTGACATTTCTCATCAGTCTTGAAACAACATTACTCTTGACATTTCTCATCAGTCTTGAACCAACATTACTCTTGACATTTGTCATGAGTCTTGAACCAACATTACTCTTGACATTTCTCATCAGTCTTGAACTAAAATTACTCTTGACATTTCTCATCAGTCTTGAACCAACATTACTCTTTACATTTCTCATGTATTTAACCTACATGTAAAGTTGCAAGTTTCTTGTTACCAGACAAAACTGAAATCCAACTTATAATAAATGAATGCAAAAATCTCTTTTCCCCCATAGAGCAGAACTAGTAACTTTGGCCCCATAGATCAGAACTAGTAACTTGGGCCCCCCTAGAACAGAACTATTAACTTGGGCCACATAAAACATAACTATTAACTTTGGACCATAGAGCACAACTATTAACTTTGGCCCCATAGAACAGAACTATTAACTTTTGCCCCATAGAACAGAACTGTTAACTTTGGCCCCATAGAACAGAACTATTAACTTGGGCCACTTAGAACAGAACTATTAACTTGGGCCCCATAGAACAGAAATATTAACTTTGGCCTCATAGAACAGAACTATTAACTTGGGCCACTTAGAACAGAACTATTAACTTGGGCCACTTAGAACAGAACTATTAACTTGGGCCACTTAGAACAGAACTATTAACTTGTGCCACTTAGAACAGAACTATTAACTTGGGCCTCATAGAACAGAACTATTAACTCACGAACTGTGGCATGCATCATTCTGTGGTGTGGAGCTTTTCAGAGCGTTTTGAGTGCCATTTGAAATGACATTAAATGACATAGAAATATTGATACAAGACCCCTATTCCCTATAAGTATTAATTTTTAGAAAGGTAAATGGCTGGGGATAAAGTTGGCCATATTGCCCACCCTGTAAAAAAAAGTTTGCTCATTGTCCCTACCTTGGGGTTCTCAAGAAAAAAAAATCGACAAAATGTCTTGCTTTCAAGTGCTCATAACATCATTAATTCTTATAGATACACTTAAAACACAAATCAAAATGTTGTAGCCAATTCATTTATCTTTAAGAAAATGTATAGTTTGCTAAGGTTTCGATTGCAATTAAACCTCTGAAAGCAATTTTAGTAATTTTAGGTCATTTCCGCCGACACAGTACAGAATGAGAATGTTGGCCAATTTCTTTCAGCTGACCACAGTTCGTAGATTAACTTGGGCCCCATAGAACAGAACCATTAACTTGGGCCTTATAGAAAAGAACCATTAAGTTGGGCTCAGTAGAGCAGAGCCATTAACCTGGGCCTTATAGAACAGATCTATTAACCTGGGCCCCATAGAGCAGAACTATTAATTTGTTGCCATAAAAATACATATTTGTTGAGTTAAGAGGTAAATTTGCTTGCAGCTAATGTCATTTATGTTCACAATTTTGCTGTGATGTCTGACTCTTATTTATCATGAAATGTTCATACCGTATTTAAAAGATAAAAGCTCCAGTTAATCAAAAGTTAACTTGTCTGCCATATCTATTTTTGTGAATAACAACTGTAACAAACAAAAAAACAACATACACTAGATTTAGTGTCTCTTTTAAATTATTATTTTATTGACAATTTTGTCAACTTGTACACTCCCAAATGAGTAGAGGTCCAAATGATTTAGCAAAATCTTTCTTTAGAAGTCCAATGTTTTAGCAAAATCTCTCTTTAGAAGTCTGTTTTAGCAATATCTCTTTTTAGAAGTCTAATCTTTTAACTTAAAGCTCTCTTTAAAAGTCTAATGTTTTAACTAAAGCTCTCTTTAGAAGTCCAATGTTTGAGCTAAAACTCTGTTTTACAATTGAGAAAGCAAGATTGACAACCAAGATTGAGTAAAATTTAAAAAGTTAGTGTACTTTTATCCCAGCAACATTATTATTGTTTGTCAGTAGAAATCAACCATGACCACTTTGATCATTGTATTTGTGCTAGTTCTGAATTTGGCTGTAGCTTTGCTGGTTACTGATGAGTCTGGCAACAAATGGTCTTGTGCAGTTCTTGGGGATTTGTTGGGACGTCTCCAGTGTAGAGTTAATCTGAGTCTTTCTGGCCTGTGTTTTGTGCTCTGCAGCCATTCTCTGTTGGATTCATGATGTATGGAGCATTATGGCAAAGAGGCTCAAAATTTAGCCATTTCTTCCCAAATGTCTTGGTTTACATCAAAAGCTTACTCAGAGACTTTTAGTTGTCTTTCAAGTGTTCCTCCAGCAAACCACCTTCCATGCTCGAGCTCACCATAGAATAGTCTTTTTGGGCAAGCAGCCGCCTGGCATTCTCACAACTTTTCCTGCCCATGGAAGCTGGAACTACATTAAAAGGGTAAAGATGCTGGAGAGACCTGCCTATTGTGAGTACTGCAGTGACTTGGACCCTGTCCTGCCATTTCATGTTAATGATTTTTCTGAGGCTTGTCGTATGAAAGTGGTTCAATATTCTTGCATGGTTTTGATAGACTGTCAATGTTTCTCATGTGTAGACAAGTGCAGGGAGCACAGACACCTTATATTTTAGTTTGAGTACTGATGGACCTCTCCTGGTACATGCATTTTTAGGCAATGTGCCACATGTTTCACTAACTAACAATACCAAGGTTAACTTAATTTTTTGGTTCACTTTGGGACAGTATGCTGCCTAGGTAAAAGAAGCTATGTACAACTGTAAGGCTTTCACAACATACTTGAATGCTGGGCTCAGCATAAGGTTTTTGGAGGAGCTGGCTGGTACCGGACCCCAGTCTTTTTTGTTTTAATGGTGAGACCAAAGTTTGCGCAGACATTGAAGAAATTATAACACTGCGTTGTATATCTATATCTGATCCAGTGTTTAGGGTACAATCCCCGGCATACAGGAAGTCCCTGATGATGTCTGTCAGGTCCTTGGATTTGGCATGTAGCCTCTTGGGGGTGAAAAGCTTACCATCATTTCGGTATCTGAGACCAATTCCAACATCTCCCTCTCTGAAGGCATTAGTTAGCATGGCGGAAAACATGATACTGAAAAGTTTTGTAGCCAGAACACAAAATTGTTTGATGCCATTTAACACAGGCAACGATTTAGAAAACTCCCCATTAACCCAAAAACCAGCCTGTATTTCATGATTTAGACGTCTCCCCATTTTCCCAAATAACAGCCTGCATTCCATCATGGAATTGCATACTATTGATATGACATTTCTGAGGCATCCAAATTTGGCCATGATCATCCAAAGACACTTTCTATTAATAGTTTCGAAAGTGTTTTGTCATGTCTACGCAGATGGAGAAGAGGTCACAATGATGTTCCTTTCATTCTTCCTGTTGCTGTCTTATCAATAATTCATTCTTCTTTATTGAAACCGCATTGACGTTCTGGCTGGAGGCACTTCTCAAGATGCACATTAAAACATTTAGCAAGATTCTAGCCAGTATCTTGCCTGCAATCAAGAGCAATGATATACCACTTTGGATGTCACAAGATTAATGGTTCGACCCTTGGATGTCACAAGATTAATGGTTCGACCCTTCCTGACAATGGATGCATCCATTGAAATCCTGTGGAATCGTCTCTTGCTGCCACATAGTAGGAAAAACTTGTCAAGCCTTTCAGTTGGAGCTGTACCCCCTTTTTTGTGTATATTTCAACTGGGATTGAGTCATCACCAGCTTGTTTGGATCACAGTAAAAAAAATTGGCAACTTCGAAAGACTTATCACTTCATCATTATTATTATGGATGATCAATTTAGGATGTTGTCAAAATGTTCAGTCTACGTTCCGTTATGTTTTCCTTCTCACTGATTAGAGATTTCTGATCAGCACATAGAGGTGGACATCAAATATAACTTAAAACTGAAGTATGTGGTACTTTATGGGGGGGGGGAAGTAACTCTATATTGTTTCGGGGTAGCTAATCATTCTCTAGTCCCTGCATGGTGCCGCTCAGCTCTCATCTTTGGCTCCAAGAGGGTAAAAGAGCTTTCTCCCCCCCCCCCCCCCACAGCATGTCAAGACTGGATTTGGTGGATTGGGTGGAGGAACCACTATTTGGTCAGTGGGCAAAAATGCATAGACAGCAATGTGAATCACTCAGAGCATGGTTAAACATGTAAACACCATGGTCAATGATCCTGTCCCCAGTCTTCTCGACCTTGTCTTTCTCCTGGATCGAAACAGCATTGGGTGAGAGAAAGGGGGTTGATGAGTCGTGCAACTCTTTTTGACTTAAATCCAAGTCCCATGTATATCCTGCCACACACCATGCTCCAAGATGAACCTCCAGCCTATTTGTGATCTGACACACATTAAAAATTCAAGGGTACAGTCTTGCTAATTGGAGCATGAAATTTGTGTCTTAGATTTCAGGTTAAATATTTATTGGTGTCTATTTCTGCTGCTGGGATGTTTAATTGAACCAGCTGATTATGTAGGCTGTACCCATTAGGAGATACTGGATAGTTTTTATTTGGTGATCTGTTCCTTGCCTTATTTAGTTTGACTCTAATGTAAGTTTAATTTCCCAAGTTGTTTCATTAGTTGCTCAAACAACAGATAAAAACATAACTGCCCAATCCTATCGTTATGCAACTATATCGCTAAGTATTGAAACTGCAACTTTCTTTGCATCTAATGTTGCCAGGTTTCGTTGAGTGTAGAGTTGCATTTAAATGTTTGACTGCGCTGTCTTTCATGGCTGTAATTTGGCTTCAATGCTAGGTTAGGGAAACTTGTTTTACTGGCACCTAAACTTTTGGCTAGACACAATGGTGGCCAGATGGTGGCCAGACATATGTTGGTCCAGATGGTGGCCAGACATATGTTGGTCCAGATGGCGGCCAGACATATGTTGGTCCAGATTGTGGCCAGACATATGTTGGTCCAGATGTTGGCCAGCTGTGGTTTGGTCAAGATAGTTGCCAGCAATTGTTTGAGGCAATAATGTGTTACTCAAGAACAAAGTTTTGAAATTCCTATCACATTTTGTCTAACCATGTTTTATTGTCACCATTGATTTGATCTGTATAGTATTTTGTGAGAAAGTTGTATAGGTTGTATTTAAGTACAAGATAAAATAGTGTCTTGTGTGTATGGAATTATGAAAGTCTTTTGAACAGTACTAGGCTTGTCTGAGTTAAAGGACTGTGTACATGATGATGTAAAATTACTGTGTGAAAGTCTCATTTATGCAAATATGTAATATCACCATTTGAAAAGGAGTGTGAAGAAGAATATTTGTGCTATTGTGAAGAAGAATGTATTATTGTGAAGAAGAATGTGTTATTGTGAAGAAGAATGTGTTATTGTGAAGAAGAATGTATTATTGTGAAGAAGAATGTGTTATTTTGAAGAAGAATGTGTTATTGTGAAGAAGAATGTGTTATTGTGAAGAAAAATGTTATTGTGAAGTAGAATGTGTTATTTTGAAGAAGAATGTGTTATTTTGAAGAAGAATGTGTTATTGTGAAGAAGGTTTGTGCTATTGTGAAGAAGGTTTGTGTTATTGTGAAGAAGAATGTTTGTGTTATTGTGAAGAAGAATTTTTGTGTTATTGACGTTATTGTGAAGAAGAATATTTGGGTTATTGTGAAGAAGAATGTGTTATTGTGAAGAAGAATGTGTTATTGTGAAGAAGAATGTTTGTGTTATTGACGTTATTGTGAAGAAGAATGTTTGGGTTATTGTGAAGAAGAATGTTTGGGTTATTGTGAAGAAGAATGTGTTATTGTGAAGAAGGATGTTTGGTTCTTTGTAATTTATTACCAGACTGTATTCCTATTTGAAATATTGTACATTAAACTATAACATGCTGTGTACAAGACTGCATACACTACTTTACCTTGGGATTTTCGAATTAACCCATTAGTCACCTTGCTGACAATATGTACACATTTTGTTCATTGTACACATTGTTGTATTGAATTTCCTAGTGATCTGATTCTGTCCTCTGTTCCCAGGCATCATTATGTGAATTGAGATTATTTGACTAATTGTTACTAGACTACATGACTAATTGTCAGATGCCTATTTGACTAAGTGTTATCATACTGTTAGACTAATTGTTATCAGACTATGTGACTGTCTTTAGACTATAATGAACGATTGTCTTCAGAATATTTGACTAATTGTCTTCAG